ACAGCGTATATGGTGCCAGCTCAGTTACTGCCCCGCTCCTGTGCCAGGTAAGTCCACTACGGGGTCACCATAGTCCGTGCTACTTGGAACATTTTGTTCCGAGTAGTTGAATGTAAAACAACAACAACAACCACAACAAGAACAACAAGAACAACAACAACCACAACAACAACAACAACCACAACAAGAACAACCACAACAACAAGAACAACCACAACAACAACAACCACAACAACAACCACAACAACAACAAGAACAACAACAACCACAACAACAACAACAACCACAACAACCAAAACAACCACAACAACAACCACAACAACAAGAACAACAACAACAACAACCACAACAACAACAACAACCACAACAACCACAACAAAAACAACCACAACAACAACAACCACAACAACAACCACAACAACAACAACAACAACAACCACAACAACAACCACAACAACAACAACCACAACAACAACAACAACCACAACAAAAACAACCACAACAACAACCACAACAACAACAACCACAACAAAAACAACCACAACCACAACAACAACCATAACCACAACAACAACCACCACAACAACAACCACAACAACAACAACAACAACCACAACAACCACAACAACAACCACAACAACAACAACAACAACAACAACAACCACAACAACAACAACAACCACAACAACCACAACAAAAACAACCACAACAACAACAACAACAACAACCACAACAAAAACAACCACAACAACAACCACAACCACAACAACAACAACCACAACAAAAACAACCACAACCACAACAACAACCACAACAACAACAACAACAACAACCACAACAACAACCATAACCACAACAACAACCACAACAACAACAACCACAACAAAAACAACCACAACAACAACCACAACAACAACAACAACAACAACAACCACAACAACAACAACAACAACAACCACAACAACAACCATAACCACAACAACAACCACAACAACAACAACAACAACAACCACAACAAAAACAACCACAACAACAACAACAACCACAACAAAAACAACCACAACAACAACAACAACCACAACAACCACAACAAAAACAACCACAACCACAACAACCATAACCACAACAACAACCACAACAACAACAACAACAACAACCACAACAAAAACAACCACAACAACAACCATAACCACAACAACAACCACAACAACAACAACAACAACAACAACAACCACAACCACAACAACAACCACAACAACAACCACAACAACAACAACAACAACAACCACAACAACCACAACAACCACAACAAAAACAACCACAACAACAACAACCACAACCACAACCACAACAACAACAACAACAACAACCACAACAACAACAACAATAACAACCACAACCACAACCACAACAACCACAACAACAACAACAACAAGGCAGGCGGGAGGTGAGGCGGGTCAACACAGCAGGCTCGGCCACGCTCGGCTCCTCCCGCCTTGCTGGCTTCTGTTGACCATATTTCTGAGCAGCTTTTGTTGTCATTGTTTTGTTATTTCTATAATTATAACTGTATTTACGTCACTCATATTGTTGCTGGGGTTATATTATTAGCATAATTTGTATTGCTGTTTATACTACTTCAAATACTACACAAACATAACAGAGACTACTGCCATAACTGTCAATAACATTAGACAACAAAATGTCTAGTGATCCAATAATTTTAAGGAAACGTGTATATTTAGAGACAGGCTGGTAAATGTTGTTGGTATACATCCTAAATATGTGTATGAATATAGTTGTGCTTGCGGGGGTTGAGCTCTGCTCTTTCGGCCCGCCTCTCAACTGTCAATCAATTGTTTCTATTACAACTTTTTTTTCACACCACACACACACACACACACCAGGAAGCAGCCCGTGACAGCAGACTAACTCCCAGGTACCTATTTACTGCTAGGTAACAGGGGCATAGGGTGAAAGAAACTCTGCCCATCGGTGCCCGGGATCGAACACGGGGCCACAGGATCACGTGCCCAGCGTGTTGTCCGATCGGCCACCGACTCCCAGATGTGTATGAATATGAGGTGTGGGCGAGACTGGATCCCTTACCTAAAGAAACAAAATAAAGCTAGATAAGGACGACAGATATTCATCACGATTCGTTCCTTATCTAAGGATGTTGAGCTGTGAAGAAAGGCTGTGGGACCTGGGACTCACCACACTTGACGGAAGAAGGGATAAAGCAGACATGATAACGACATACAAAATTCAAAGGGGAATTGACAAAGAAGAACAACAATATGCGAAGTGAGGAACAGAATACAACGGGACACAGAGTGAAACTGGAGAGACACTTGAGTCACAGAATGTCACAACAAATGGAGGAAAATGATGTTGATTATAAATGTATATAAAATGTTTTATGTAAATATAATAATGAAAACGGGTGACTAAAGTCCGTGTAACCTTATCAGGGTGAACACTCTCACCCGTCCTCTCACTCCCTCTATCTCACACTCTCCCACTCACACTCACTCCCTCTATCTCACACTCTCCCTCTCACACTCACACTCACTCCCTCTATCTCACACTCACACTCACTCCCTCTATCTCACACTCACACTCACTCCCTCTATCTCACACTCTCCCTCTCACACTCACACTCACTCCCTCTATCTCACACTCACTCCCTCTATCTCACACTCTCCCTCTCACACTCACACTCACTCCCTCTATCTCACACTCTCCCTCTCACACTCACACTCACTCCCTCTATCTCACACTCTCCCTCTCACACTCACACTCACTCCCTCTATCTCACACTCTCCCTCTCACACTCACACTCACTCCCTCTATCTCACACTCTCCCTCTCACACTCACACTCACTCCCTCTATCTCACACTCTCCCTCTCACACTCACACTCACTCCCTCTATCTCACACTCTCCCTCTCACACTCACACTCACTCCCTCTATCTCACACTCTCCCTCTCACACTCACACTCACTCCCTCTATCTCACACTCTCCCTCTCACACTCACACTCACTCCCTCTATCTCACACTCTCCCTCTCACACTCACACTCACCGACCGATCCCCGGTGGAGGCGGAAACAAATGGGCAAAGTTTCTTTCACCCTGATGCACCTGTTTATCTAATAGTAAATAAGTACCTGGAAGCTAGAAGCTGCTACGGGCTGCTGCCTGCGTGTGTGTGTATGTAGAAAAACAAAAATAATAATCAGTTGATTGATTGACAGTCAAGAGGCGAGCCCAAAGAGCCAGAGCTCAACCGCCGCAAGGACAACTAGGTGAGCAAACTCTCCCTCTCTCACTCTCACACTGGAGGCCCCGACGCTTACAGCACAGTGGGCCTTCCTATCGCACCTCTGCCTTTATTATACGACAAAAACAACTCCCCAATACATAATACCTTCCTCCACATGCCTTGAGAACAACTGCATCAGCATCTGGCCCAACACTAACACTGAGGTTGTCTAGCCGGCAGCTGTTGGATGCTCAAAGTAAATCCAGTATTAATAGGGACGGGATTAAAGCCACAGTGTTGCCTGTGGGTGGCGGCTGCGCTCTGGGCCGGCCAGGCGGCCCCAACCTGTAGGGCGTCACTCCTGTCATATACCAGCCGCATCAGGCGTGTTGACCCTGTGTACTACCATTGGCACCGGGCTGGTGTTACTCTTGTGGCTACTATATAATGCACTCACTGCTGCCCCCACACTCACTCCCTGCCCTCACACTCACTCCCTGCCCCTCACACTCACTCCCTGCCCTCACACTCACTCCCTGCCCTCACACTCACTCCCTACCCTCACACCCACTCCCTGTCCTCACACCCACTCCCTGCCCCTCACACCCACTCCCTACCCTCACACTCACTCCCTGCCCCTCACACTCACTCCCTGCCCCTCACACTCACTCCCTGCCCCTCACACTCACTCCCTGCCCCTCACACTCACTCCCTGCCCTCACACTCACTCCCTACCCTCACACTCACCCCCTCTCCTCACCCCCACCGTGACTGACTTCACAGGACGTGCCTGGACCCGGAGATCAGAGCGTGAGCGATGGACACGCTGTGTTAATACTCCCCCCCCCTCTCCCCCAAGCACCCCTCCCCCCCCTCTCACCCTTCTCTTATTTTCCCACCGCTCTCTCTCTGCTCCAGAATATAATTGGTTTTGTTAATTTGGAGCTGTGTATCCGCCCCCTCCCCCAGCGGGCACAGCATCTAGCCTCCCCCACCCTGGCCCAGCAGTCACGTGTCATTCTCCACCCCTGCGTGTGGGGGGGCGGTGACCCCCGCCCCCCACTCTGCTTACTGCTTGGTCTCTTGCCTTTTGTGTTTGTGCTGTAATTAAGAACCTCAGGTGTTTGACGCTTTACCAATGTCCGGTTCTGCTAGCAATCTATATTTATAAAAGATAATATCTGTTTGTGTGCCTGTTCGAGGTTGGGGGCCAGATGCTTGGGGCTAGCCTCACCAAACTTTGCGGGGTGACTGGTCTTTGTCCGGGGATGGTCATAGGTGCGTCGCCGTAATGCCCTTTCCCACCCCCTTCCTTTACATCATATGATAAATTACACATATTTCCAATGTCGCCAAATACCAGACTCCATCTTCACTGAGATTCATCGAGCTTATTATTTTATATATGATTAAATGTTGTTTGTCGTGTGGAGTTTATTAATTGACGAAGACATAGGCGAGTGGAGATGGTTACAGACATGAAGGGAAGGTGGTGAAGGTCCTACCAACCCCTCTCTTTATACCCCCCCCCCTGCCAGCCACACCCTGTATACCTCCCTGCCAGCCTCACCCTGTATACCCCCCCTGCCAGCCACACCCTGTATACCCCCCCTGCCAGCCACACCCTGTATACCCCCCCTGCCAGCCACACCCTGTATACCCCCCTGCCAGCCACACCCTGTATACTGACCTACACGACACTCCCAACCTTAATAAGTATTGTTGTGTTACAGGGGAGTACCCGGCGCGAGGGTCACTGTGCCAAGTACAAGGCTTCCTCCTCAACCTGCTCTGTCTGCTCTCCCTCTGGTACACCGCCGTGCTCGCTGTCGAGAGGTACGTCCACCACCAGGTCCCTGGTACACCGCCGTGCTTGCTGTCGAGAGGTACGTCCACCACCAGGTCCCTGGTACACCGCCGTGCTTGCTGTCGAGAGGTACGTCCACCACCAGGTCCCTGGTACACCGCCGTGCTTGCTGTCGAGAGGTACGTCCACCACCAGGTCCCTGGTACACCGCCGTGCTTACTGTCGAGAGGTACGTCCACCACCAGGTCCCTGGTACACCGCCGTGCTTACTGTCGAGAGGTACGTCCCCCACCAGGTCCCCGGTACACCGCCGTGCTCGCTGTCGAGAGGTACGTCCACCACCAGGTCCCTGGTACACCGCCGTGCTTGCTGTCGAGAGGTACGTCCACCACCAGGTCCCTGGTACACCGCCGTGCTTACTGTCGAGAGGTACGTCCACCACCAGGTCCCTGGTACACCGCCGTGCTTGCTGTCGAGAGGTACGTCCACCACCAGGTCCCTGGTACAACAATTGTTTTCCATTGCGAGGCCTCAGTATTGGATTCCAGCTTAAATGTAGACTTGTGTTGCTGGAGGCCTGGAGGTGGAGGCGTGTGTGTGGCGGCACCCTGGAGGCTGCCAACACAATGGAGGTACAACAGTGGTGGAGGGAACCACGTCCTCGGCTTCCAGATCACAACTATATATTGTTCCAGCAACGTGAGGCTGTTGTTGTGTTAGCCCGGCCTCATCCAGTTCCAGCTGTCCCCGCCTCTACCCGCCATTATCCAACGCAGTTTTATTTCTGGAACACTTTGATATATATATAATGGACAAATATTTTGCAGTTTTCTTTGTGAGGTCGTTTGCCGCACTTTAGAAGGACACAACGGGCAAATTGCGCCAAGTATATCCCCCACTGGCTGCTCTGAAGGCAATGAAATGTTTTATTACACCTTTCGTCGCAAATGGTTCAGTGTTGTGGGTGCCTTTGATGTCGGCCATTTTATAAGCGCTTGAGCGCCCTCTTCCCTGGTCGGCCATAAGCGTTAGTGGCGGCAAGATTTTCTTCACCTTTCTTCACCTTGAGGTGGTGACGCAGTGTCCCACCCACAAGGTCACCAAGCCAGTAAGTCATCAAGTCAGAAAGTCATCAAAGCACCAGGTCACGAAGCCAGCAGATCACCAAGCAGATCTCCAAACCAGTAGGTCAGCAGGTCAGCAGGTCACCAAGCCAGCACGTCATCAACTCACCAAGCCAGTAAGTCATCAAGCCAGTAAGTCATCAAGTGACCACGCCAACACACTACCAGTTGAGAACGTTACCAGAGCGTCAGGTCAATAAGGTGACAAGTGAGAGGAGGTGACAGAGTGTAGAGGCGACAGAGTGTAGAGGTCACACCCTCGGTCACACCTGGGAGTACACAGTGTGGCTCACTCATTGATACTCATCTGAATACTTTAAGAGTATTTTTATGGTTGGTAATTAAACATGATCCCCCTCCTGGTGTGAACTTAATTAAATGATCTGCATATTGACTGTTGAGACTTTTATTTGTTTTAATTAGAGAAGTGGGTCTAAGCTCAACTAATTCTAATTTAAACGTTTTCCGATATCCAATTTGTGCTAAAGCGACCATTTGAAATCTTATTGCGTGGAAATGTTGTTCTGGTGTTGAATTGGTCCCCGAATGACGAATTTAATTTGCCAATAATGGCACCAATTCATCTTGGGTATTGTCAAATCGTTGCCACTCAGCTGCTCTCAACCAATCTTGGTTATGGTAAAAACTTGTATATATATTCTGTTTACATAGTTGTGTACAGGAGTGGACGGTTTGTGACTTCTGTTAGCAGGCTGAGAGCTTTCCTTTCCCACAGCTCCTGGTAAGCTTTATCTTGAGATGATTTCGGGGCTTTTAGTGTCCCCGCGGCCCGGTCCTCGACCAGGCCTCCACCCCCAGGAAGCAGCTCGTGACAGCTAACTAACAACCAGGTACCTATTGTACTGCTAGGTAACAGGGGGCATAGGGTGAGAGAAACTCTGCCCAGTGTTTCTCGCCGGCGCCCGGGATCGAACCCGGGACCACAGGATCACAAGTCCAGTGTGCTGTCCGCTCGGCCGACCGGCTCCCCTTAGCCTTAGTAGTGTCTCCCCGACACACCACCCGCTAATTGGTTAACAACCTGATACCAAATTACCGCTGGGTAAACAGAGGCGAACAGTTAACAACCATAATGTCCACTTATATTGTAGTTATATGTTGATATAAACTTTACTACAATGTACCTTTTCATCTTTCCTGATCTGTTAGATTAAGGACCTCCCTGAAACGCTATGTGTATTAGTGGCTTTGTAAGGATGGGACAATACCAATATTATGTAATCTCACAAATCCATTGTATTTTCTTGTAAATAAAATTATTATTATTAAAAATTGGCGCCCAGTAAATCCTTCCTGGCCAGGACTCGATCCCGGACTAAGTCACTCTCAAGGCGCGGGTCGAATGTGCTACCACTGCACCAGAGTAAGCCCGTCCAAATCTTTCCCGTCCAAAGGCTAGTCCAAAAGAGTGTCCACATCCCAGATTCATTGTCTGTTAAATCCTAAATTGTCTGCTTTGTGATTCTCCTTGTTCCGCTCAAGGACTTGCTTGTACAGTACAGCAGAGTACAACAGCTTGTCACTATCATTAACTAGTCAAGTCAAATCATTAACACTTCCCAGGTGACTGTGCAACTAGCTGACCCATCCCAGTTGACTGTGCAACTAGCTGACCCATCCCAGTTGACTGTGCAACTAGCTGACCCATCCCAGGTGACTGTGCAACAAGCTGACCCATCCCAGTTGACTGTGCAACTAGCTGACCCATCCCAGGTGACTGTGCAACTAGCTGACCCTTCCCAGTTGACTGTGCAACTAGCTGAGCCTTCCCAGGTGACTGTACAACTAGCTGACCCATCCCAGGTGACTGTGCAACTAGCTGACCCATCCCAGGTGACTGTGCAACAAGCTGACCCATCCCAGTTGACTGTGCAACTAGCTGACCCATCCCAGGTGACTGTACAACTAGCTGACCCTTCCCAGGTGACTGTGCAACTAGCTGAGCCTTCCCAGGTGACTGTACAACTAGCTGACCCATCCCAGGTGACTGTACAAGCAGCTAACCCATCCCAGGTGACTGTACAAGCAGCTAACCCATCCCAGGTGACTGTACAAGCAGCTAAACCTTCCCAGTTGACTGTGAAAGCAGCAGAACCTTCCCAGTTGACTGTGCAAGCAGCAGAACCTTCCCAGTTGACTGTGCAACTAGCTAACCCATCCCAGGTGACTGTACAAGCAGCTGACCCATCCCAGGTGACTGTACAAGCAGCTGACCCATCCCAGGTGACTGTACAAGCAGCAGAACCTTCCCAGTTGACTGTGCAACTAGCTAACCCATCCCAGTTGACTGTGCAAGCAGCAGAAGCTTCCCAGTTGACTGTGCAACTAGCTAACCCATCCCAGTTGACTGTGCAAGCAGCAGAACCTTCCCAGTTGACTGTGCAACTAGCTAACCCATCCCAGTTGACTGTGCAAGCAGCAGAAGCTTCCCAGTTGACTGTGCAACTAGCTAACCCATCCCAGTTGACTGTGCAAGCAGCAGAACCTTCCCAGTTGACTGTGCAACTAGCTAACCCATCCCAGTTGACTGTGCAAGCAGCAGAAGCTTCCCAGTTGACTGTGCAACTAGCTAACCCATCCCAGTTGACTGTGCAAGCAGCAGAAGCTTCCCAGTTGAGGTTGAGTGACGCTGGGGTGTCCACCGACAGATACGTGAAGTTCGCCTCGCCGCACGAGCACACGCTGACCTTCTCGCTGCTCAACCTGAACGTGGTGCTGTGCGGCGTCCTGGTCCTCCTCCTCATCGAGGTCTCTGGCCCCATCTATGGCTGGGCCGAGTATGGCTACGTCTCAGGTGGGTGGGTGCTCCTCCTCCTCACCGCTCTTACAGGTGTGTGTGTCTGAGTCGTTAATGGTTTCTTCTCAGGTGTCTCTGCGGCTCGTTATGGGATGGCTTTTGTAGGTGTGAGGTGTGACAAGCTTGTTAAGGGTGTGTGGTGGCACCTGCACCGGCTGCTGACACGTGGTGTATAGTGGTGGAGGCTTATTAGAGGAGTGTTCCGGTGTGTGTGTGTGTGTGTGTGTGTGTGTGTGTGTGTGTGTGTGTGTGTGTGTGTGTGTGTGTGTGTGTGTGTGTGTGTGTGTGTTCTCGTGTACGTACCTTCTTATGATATCTCTGTACAGTTATCATGAACTGTCTGCAACGTCTATGTTAACTTTATAACCCTGTCCCCTGTGTGTCACCGACCCTGTCCCCTGTGTGTCACCGACCCTGTCCCCTGTGTGTCACCGACCCTGTCCTCTGTGTGTCACTGACCCTGTCCCCTGTGTGTCACCGACCCTGTCCCCTGTGTGTCACCGACCCTGTCCCCTGTGTGTCACCGACCCTGTCCCCTGTGTGTCACCGACCCTGTCCTCTGTGTGTCACCGACCCTGTCCTCTGTGTGTCACTGACCCTGTCCCCTGCGTGTCTCTGTAAGACTGTGCCACCCCAGTGTTTATCTTTTCAAGACTTCCCCTTCCCAGCAACACCCCCCCCCCTCGCATCTTGTGTATCACCCCGTCTAACCTGTGTGCTCTACCCTGTGATCCAACAGACTGTGGAGTATGCGTGCTGGACCCCGTGTCGACGCACATTCTGACCTACACAGTGATCCAGACGGCGTGCTACGTTAGCCTGCCGGTGCTGATCACGGTGTGTGCCGCCCTCTGCATCCTGCACCGGTGTTGCACCGACCCCGGCCCCCTCACTCAGGGCTCCCAGGTACGTCAGCACAGTGGTGGCTCGGGTGACAGGTGTCAGATAGGTGTACTTTCAGGAGGAAGTGTAACATGTGTAACTCTCTCACGCACCTGTCGTGAAGCATACGTAGCCTCCAGGAGGGCTACTGGTGTCGTGTTCACAGGTACTCCTCAGAGCTAATTGGTGCTCGTCTGAGGTCATTCTTGTGAGTTGGGGGTCACAGATGTGTGTAGCGGGACCCTAGAGACATACCAGGGGTCACAGATGTGTGTAGCGGGACCCTAGAGACGTACCAGGGGTCAAAGATGTGTGTAGCGGGACCCTAGAGACGTACCAGGGGTCACAGATGTGTGTAGCGGGACCCTAAAGACGTACCAGGGGTCACAGATGTGTGTAGCGGGACCCTAGAGACGTACCAGGGGTCACAGATGTGTGTACCGGGACCCTAGAGACGTACCAGGGGTCACAAATGTGTGTACCGGGACCCTAGAGACGTACCAGGGGTCACAAATGTGTGTACCGGGACCCTAGAGACGTACCAGGGGTCACAGATGTGTGTGGCGGGACCCTAGAGACGTACCAGGGGTCACAGATGTGTGTACCGGGACCCTAGAGACGTACCAGGGGTCACAGATGTGTGTGGCGGGACCCTAGAGACGTACCAGGGGTCATAGGTTAATACCGGAAGTCCACATCACAGAATATTGCTAGCGGCATGTGATTAACTGGCCGATGTCCAAATAGTTTTGAGGAACTTGTGCAAAGGAGCCTTTCAAGTGTTATATTCAAGGTAAGACCAACTGGAGCTCACTGTCCCACTTTGGAACCCCAGCCAGGAGGAAGCCCTCAGCCAGTACAGTGTGTGGCTGTATTGTAAAGCAAAAGCTCCAACGATATGCAACAAGACTAGGCCCTGAGGTGAAGGGACTGAGCTACGAGGAAAGACTGAGTGATCTAGGACTTCACCATACCGAAAGAGAGGAAGAACAGGGGGTAGGGGATGACAACGACATACCATTCTAGACGAAGTTGACAAAGTAGTTCAAAGTGTTCAAAGGCCTTGAAGGGAGCTTAATACACAATTTTAAATTTAAATCTGATACCTAAACAGTTATTGGATTAAACACCAAAATGTTTGTAAAGCGGGGCTTAGGAGCTGAGGCTCAACGCTTCACTGACATGCAGGAGGCGTGCACGTGCGCGCGCGCACACACAAAAGCAACATAAAAATAGCAACATAAATCACGAACACATTACAGGTGATGTTGTGATCACGTCTCTCCCCTGACCTCTGTGTCTCTCTCTCCCCTGACCTCTGTGTGTCTCTCTCTCCCCTGACCCCTGAGTCTCTCTCTCCCCTGACCTCTGAGTCTCTCTCTCCCCTGACCTCTGAGTCTCTCTCTCCCCTGACCCCTGAGTCTCTCTCCCCTGACCCCTGAGTCTCTCTCTCCCTGACCTCTGAGTCTCTCTCTCCCCTGACCCCTGAGTCTCTCTCCCCTGACCTCTGTGCCAGAGATCGTGGTCGGCCTCCATGAAGTGCGTGTCCCCGAGGGTGAGGCCTGGCTTAGCTTGTGTGGGCGTGCTTGGTCCTACACTAGCCTGGCTCTGTGTCCGTGTGTATGTGGGCGTGGCTCTGTGCATGTGGGCGTGGCTCTGTGTATGTGGGCGTAGCTCTGTGTATGTGGGCGTAGCTCTGTGTATGTGGGCGTAGCTCTGTGTATGTGGGCGTGGCTCTGTGTATGTGGGCGTAGCTCTGTGTATGTGGGCGTAGCTCTGTGTATGTGGGCGTGGCTCTGTGCATGTGGGCGTGGCTCTGTGTATGTGGGCGTGGCTCTGTGTATGTGGGCGTGGCTCTGTGTATGTGGGCGTGGCTCTGTGTATGTGGGCGTGGCTCGACGTTACTGAGGGTGTAAAGAGGTCCTACACAGTACACTCTTCCAGCGACGGTCTTCCTAACCTACTCCAGGGTAAAGACCTGGATTACGGAGTCCTGGAGAGAGTTACACGGCATATATTACGGTGAGTCAATGTGTCTGCACCCGAATATTATTGGTGGTCATTATCCCACGGCAGTTATGGTGCAACTGGCAATTATGTTAATGGAATTGTGGCAGAGGAGCAATAAAGGACTAGGAACGAGAGAGAGAGAGAGAGAGAGAGAGAGAGAGAGAGAGAGAGAGAGAGAGAGAGAGAGAGAGAGAGAGAGAGAGAGAGAGAGAGAGAGAGAGAGAGAGAGAGAGAGAGAGAGAGAGAGAAGAGCACAACACATTAAAGTGCCAAGGTGTTCCAGGTGCATGATAATGGTGGTCATTAGCGAGGGTGCCGCCAGGCAGGAGACCCGAGCCAGGCTACAGCAGGTGAGGGAGGGTGACCTTGTCTCAGCATCACCTGGGGAAGGGGGAAGGGGGGGAGGGAGGGAAGGCAAGACGGAGGGAGGAAGGGAGAGACAATATTTATGAGACACCAAAGGATAAGATGAACCCGAAAGTGGAACTAGAGGGAAGTTGGGGGCAGAAAATCCCCCCCCCCCACCCTCGCCTCCCCTCTCCCCCACACTATCACCAACCTATGGATGTATGGTTCATGGTTTCATCGTATATCATCAGGAGGAGAGCATTATGACTGGACTGTGTGAACCGTATACAAATTGCAGGGTCACACACCATGTTGGAACGCACATTATTGTTGCCTTTATGTTCATTCCCATTTTGGAGCCAGAGAGGCGCGCACATACAGGAGAGGAGGCGGCTGCCTTGTACCACACTCACGGGAGTTCCTCACCACCACGACGACGACAGCCCTCTACCTGGCTGTGTCATGGCTCCACCACCACCATCCCGGGGGACCCCAAGATGCAACCCTCTCGGTCGGTCAACATTGGAGCCCAGGACGGATGGACCCCAGTGGACCTCAGGACGGACGGACGGACTCCAGTGGATCCCAGGACGGACCTCAGTGGACCTCAGTGGGGTCGTTTTGTAGACGACCCCACACGATCCAGTAAAGATGGAAGAGGAACAACGACGACTCCAGTCTGTCCCACCAACATTGGTCTACCTAGGATGGACCCCAGGACGGACAGACGCCAGTGTACCCCTTCTTCTTCTTGAGAATAGGCGCAGTTTGCATGAAGGGGTAACCCTCCCGATGACTGCACCAGGACAGATGTAAGGAGACGCGTTGACGGTCAGGAGGAGAAGAAAGTCAAAAGCGGTAGATGTGATGGGCCGTAGAGAGAGGAGTGGCGACGAAAACAGAGGCGAACGTTAGAGGGAGACTCCCCGCACCGGGGGGCGGGGCGTCGTGATCACGGTGGCAGCTGATCCATGCACGGCTTAGCAGCGTGCGCAAGACGGGAACTAATACTTCTCCGGAAACTTGTGTATCGGAAAGCGCAAGCAGTACGCTTCCCATATCACCCGCAGGTCAGCGGGCAGCCGGCCACCAGGCGGCGCCCTCGGCTGAGACATCCTATCCGGCACCCTATACACAAACTCCTTCACCCGCGACACCCAGACAGTGGACGAGCACCACGGGATCGGAAGCACCCGGGCATCCCGATAAGGGCCCAACTCCGGACCCTCACAGGGCACGACCCCAGCAGACGGGACTAGGCAATCCCCAGACTGGAGCAAGGAAGGAGGGGATACAGCAGGGGACGCAGGCGCGGCACCGACCCCACCACCGGGCACAGGAGCCGAGGCCCTCTGGCGCACATCTTTCCGCAACATCACGACGAGGTCCCGATCAGCAGGGACAACCCCCCACTGCGGAGATCCAACAGCAGGAGACGCAGGAGGAGAGGCACAGGTAGCAACGTCGGAGCCCCTCACAGCACCACCATTCTCGGCGGGGGGCGCCAGATTACCATACTCCCCCACCTCCTCCCAAGGCACACCACGAAGGGGAGACACACTCCGAGCCCGCCGTGAACGCTTCGAGACAGGCCTCACCACACCACGCCCAGCAGGCCCCGCCGCAGGCACGGCCACCATCTTTACACAGGCCACACCCGCACCGTCCGAAGAGTCCACAGAGGCCACATCACCCACACTGTCCACATCATCCAGGGAAACAGCCTCAGAACACCGACGCGCACGCTTCTGCAAAGGGACGGAAAGAGCAGAACTACACTCACCAACACACACAGACACGGCAGGCACCTCCCCCTGCCGAAGCACCCCCTCTAAAACAGCAGAACCCGCGTCCCCGGGAGCCGGTATCACATCCACAGGCGGGGGCGGGACATGGACCTCCACCGAGACATCCTTCACTACACGCAGCTCAGGCGACGGCCCGACACCCACACACACCGGCTCAACAACCCCAGGGGCCATAGCAGTCACCTGACGTGTCGCCGTAGAACTCGCCCCAACAGGCGGAGCAGCAGACAGGCAATCAGGCGCCTCAGGCACAGCACCTACTCCATCCTCAGAACCGTCCGAACGTAACAAGGGCGGGAAATCCTCTGCACGAAAAACATGCACCCTACCAGTTGCACCCACGTCGCACGCCGCAGCCAGGTGACCCTCGTGACCACACCGATAACAGGTGCGCGGTTGACCCCGGTACAAGCAGCGGAGCGTGTAACCCAACACGGACATCGACGACGGTACACTACACTTCAGCGACATCGTCAGGGTGCGGGAGCCGTCAAGCATACCAACACAGTGCCCGGCAACGACCTCGTTCCAACGAACACTTAACACGGTCCCAAATCGCTCAAAACAGGAGGTTAAAAAGTCGTCCTGAAATTCGAAGGGGGCACCATGCACCGCCACAGACGTCAAGGTGACACTAAGATTCACCACCTTAACTGAGCCAGCTGAATCAGGGAGTGGGTAAACACGCCCGTCACAACGCTCGAGAAACACCTGAAAGGCAGCCTGGAGGCGGAACTTGACCACAGCACGGTTGCCCTGAAGCAGCTGGACGCCCACCAGGTCCGACAGCTGCACATGAAGCACGTCCACCAGGGCGACACCAACCAATGGATGGTCCACCGGCACCGTAAACGCTAGACCAGCCGACAATGTCCTCTGCACTGGAGGGCGAGATGACCCCATGGCGAAGGCAAACGTCACCCTGTCAGTGGCAAACCACCACCAGCAGGGCAAACAAGCAATCACCCAACGTAAACACTAGCCAGTGCGGAGAGACCTCAGGAGCGTCCGACCTGGCCGGTGGTCACCACGCAACTCCAGTGTACCCCAGGTCGCTTGTCAAAGACCCATGGGAGAAGGAAGAGAGAAAAAAGAAGAGAGAAAAAAGAAGAGAGAAAAAAGAAGAGAGAAAAAAGAAGAAGAAAGAAAGAAGAGAGAGGAAGAGAAGATAAGACCAAGCTTAGACACAATGCCTAATGTTTCTTGCTGGCGTCAGCATCATTGCATGGAGCGTGTTTGCAAGACAGGATCGTTTGCCTTAACTGGCCGTCGCTCCAGCAAGCATGTCGCTCTGTTGAGTGATTCCTCCTGTGTCGTGCAGACTTGATGAGTCTGTCAAAAGTGGCTCTCTGAAGGAGGCGTGCTGGAACAACAGGGAGGCCAAAAATAGGATGGGATTTCTACGGTGCCAACTATATGGAGGTTTTGAAACTTGTAGTCCCTATAGCTGTGAAGAACCCCAATGTACGTCTCTCATGGTGACTGATGTAGGGCCAATTACAGATCGGCTGGGACAACCGAATTTCATGGTCCTGTGCGCAGTGCCAGAAGTAACGGCTTCCTGGTTGGCCGCGACGTTGTTGTACGTTGACGACGGAGAAGCGACGGAGGCAGTTGTGTTGAGGAAACGTGTCACAAGATTATCTACAAGACCAAGCAGTGATGTCGCCAGCCAGAGATTCTGGACGTCTGTCTACATATTTCATTTTTAGAGTAGGATTGATTTTTATGTTGATAAAGTTGTCGCACACAGCTTACTTGCTTTAGCAGTGTAGCAAAAACTTTATTTTGGGGAGAAGGGGAGATGTAACACCGTAAAGGTGTTTTGTATTTAATATATATAAATAGTACAGGAGTCACAGACAAGATTTTGAGAGGCGCCAGGTTGGCTGCCCCTAGTAATTAAGAAACTCACACCTATAAGTGTTAATGACCTCAAGTCGACCTGTGGTCAGGTCGTGTGATCTGACCAGGCATCTGCTAATCTGATAATTGTAGCCTGATAGCCGGGTATGTCCTTCAAACAAGTCGCCGTAAGGTGTGGCTCGGAAAAGGGCCTGGGGCTATCCACTTGTGGGCGGAGGTAGCTAGTTGGTCCCCAATAAATACCCAGAGTACTGTACACTCAAGAGCAATAGGATAGAGACAGCACAACAGGAGCAGAGCAGAGCAGTGAAGAGCAGCCAGTCAGGCTGTCCGGCTGGGTGGGAACTCTGCCTGTCAACACCCTCCACTCCCTCTCTATCCAAATTAGGCTCAGTCCTCGGTGAGTTGAACGTTAAGGTGACTTAGTCGTGTTTACTAGTGTTGTGTGATGATCAGGGGTAGACAGCTGTAGTGGTCTTGAATTCTTGTGTAATAACTCACGTTGTATAGTAATCCTGACAGAGTGAACCTTCAGTTCGAGTGCTTGAATGATGCTACTTATCATTGCTTAAATATATGTTGATTAACTTACTTGTTTAAATTGTCTTTAATTTGGTTCCCTAGATTTTTGTGAGTTGAGGCGAGAAAAGCCTCCGAGTTGACTTATCATATATGCGTACCTGGTTAGAGTTGGTACATGAAACAAGATTATGATACAGATGAAACATGATATTAATGACATTTGTTAACAGCTTAAAGTACAGACAAGTTCCATTCCTTGTCGTGTATGTAATGAACTAGAATGGATAGTGGCAGCAATTTCTACTTCTACTTCTCTACCCTTCTACCTCTACCACTACTACTCACTTCCTACTCCTTCTCCTCTCCCTCCGCCTCTCTCCCACTTTCCCTTTCACCTGACGACACTCCTTACTCCTCCCTCCTCCCTACTTCCCTTACCCCAAACCCTCACTAATTACGTCATTATGCATTTCTTTCCTTTCGTTTTCTCTTATATGTTCGTGGCAGTGAAATGTTCTAGTGTTCTCTAGAGTTGCGGGTAGCTGATCAAGGTACAATACCTTGTGGGTGTAGCACCTAGGTAATCAAATACCTTGTGGGTGTAGCACCTAGGTAATCAAATACCTTGTGGGTGTAGCACCTAGGTAATCAAATACCTTGTGGGTGTAGCACCTAGGTAATCAAATACCTTGTGGGTGTAGCACCTAGGTAATCAAATACCTTGTGGGTGTAGCACCTAGGTAATCAAATACCTTGTGGGTGTAGCACCTAGGTAATCAAATACCAGGGTTACAAAGTGTTCAACTAGAGAGGTTGCAGTAGGAACTCTGGGAGAATCCTAGAATAGTTAACTGGGGGCGGAATGGACAAAAAAAAGCGTTACTTCCTCCACCCGCCGTTACAATGCCACACGTCAGCCCTCTCCACACAAGCCACACTAAGCCACCTCTCCACACTAAGCCACCTCTCCACACACCCCACACTAAGCCACCTCTCCACACACCCCACACTAAGCCACCTCTCCACACACTAAGCCACCTCTCCACACACTAAGCCACCTCTCCACACTAAGCCACCTCTCCACACACCCCACACTAAGCCACCTCTCCACACACCCCACACTAAGCCACCTCTCCACACACTAAGCCACCTCTCCACACACTAAGCCACCTCTCCACACACTAAGCCACCTCTCCACACACTAAGCCACCTCTCCACACACTAAGCCACCTCTCCACACACTAAGCCACCTCTCCACACACTAAGCCACCTCTCCACACTAAGCCACCTCTCCACACACCCCACACTAAGCCACCTCTCCACACACCCCACACTAAGCCACCTCTCTGCTACAGGTGCTCAAATCTGGCGCGGGAATGAGCGTGTTGTGCGGAGCCATGCTGCTGTGTGCACTGCTCATGCTGCCCTACCACGTGCTGCTCATGCTCCAGGCCTCCCAGCGCCAGATTCCAGTGTGGTCCAAGGTCAGTGGTCCAGCGTGGTCCAGTGTGAGGTGCTCTTCACCTCACACTGAGGTAGTGAGAGACCTGACTGATGACAGGTGTCTCCTCACCTCACACATAATTAAGACGTGTCAGCATACATCCTCAGCCATAAACACAGTTTGAGAGATCACAAGCATCTCACCAACAACCAATTAATGCCAATTGTTGGGGAATATCCTTGAAGCAGTAATTGGCACCACCACTCACACACAGCTTGTCTACCTCAGTATTGAACCGTCACAATTTGGCTTTAATAAAGATTACTTTATTTATCACGTTGGTTGTGGAGAGGTGACGCTACGGTACAGTATTGTGACGCCCGTTACGGTGCAGTATGGTGACGCCCGTTACGGTACAGTATGGTGACGCCCGTTACGGTACAGTATGGTGACGACCGTTACGGTACAGTGTTGTGACGCCCGTTACGGTACAGTATGGTGACGACCGTTACGGTACAGTGTTGTGACGCCCGTTACGGTACAGTGTTGTGACGCCCGTTACGGTACAGTGTTGTGTCGCCCGTTACGGTACAGTATGGTGACGCCCGTTACGGTACAGTATTGTGACGCCCGTTACGGTACAGTATGGTGACGACCGTTACGGTACAGTATTGTGACGCCCGTTACGGTACAGTGTTGTGACGCCCGTTACGGTACAGTGTTGTGTCGCCCGTTACGGTACAGTATGGTGACGCCCGTTACGGTACAGTATTGTGACGCCCGTTACGGTACAGTATGGTGACGCCCGTTACGGTACAGTATGGTGACGCCCGTTACGGTACAGTATGGTGACGCCCGTTACGGTTCAGTATGGTGACGCGACTTTAAGGGGCCGGATTACATTAAATTAAAAGTTGTTCAATTTCAATCAAACTTTTTTTTACTTGTTGTATATAAAAAGTGTTGCAACTGTGCTAGGTTTCAGGGTCGCAGCCTAAATAGAAAGGGAGGATTATTTTTTCAACGAATTTTACACATTTTCAATAATTCATTACAACCGCAAGTTTCAAATGAAATCATTTCTATGATACTCATCAACCACATTGGCATGTTATAAAGGATTTGTGTAAAAAGTATTATCCAAAATATGTTTAGTTTTACTAATACAAAGTCAAAGTTTCCCCCTAAATTTATGCCAATATATCATGTTTGGAAATATATATAAAATCAATAAATGAACTTAGGAATAAAGTGTTTTATAGAGATTGTTCACTCTACATATAATGTGTAAATTCCATGTAAATTGAAAACAAATGAAAGAGTAGTGTCAATTTTATGTTACTTGACAATGAATGAAGTCAAAGATCCTGCCACCTGTGGTTGAGGTTCACATCAACCAATTTCCTCCAAACTTTGCACCCTTACAGTTAGACTTACGTTCTCTAAGGTGTACAAGTTTCGTGCAAATCGCCCGATAAAAAATAAAAAGAACAAAATTCGAGAACAAATTCAATTTTTTTTGCATAAAACTATATATTAAAATATTATATTATATGCTATTGTGATAGCTTAGAGTCATAGACATGATTACAGTTGACAATGGTGTTTGATGTTAATTTTTTATCATTTTGGAAAATTTTTGACACATAATTAAATATTTTTTCTACCTTGCTATTTATGCTTCGATGCTAAGACTTGGACCAGATGAACCCAATTTCATATAAACTAGTCAAAAACGTTTGATTGAAATCAAACCAGTTTTCATTTATTGCATATTTTCGTAATACGGCACCTTAATTAATTAAAAATATAACATTGGGGCTGTACTATGGGATCGAACTAACATCCCTAGACCTATCAGGGACACGAGCTACCGACTGAACCATGATGGGCTCCATAGTATCTCAGCTAGAAGTAACTTGACCAATCTGGAATATGGAGTCGCTTGCTCAGGTCCTCAACGATGTAAACAAATTAAAATTATTACCCAGAGAGAGCAAGTGAGAGTGATAAAGTGAGCGAGAGTGTGAAGGAGAGGGAAGTAATTATCATAATATGAGTGGGAGAGTGAGAGTGGGAGAGTGAGAGTGAGAGAGAGTGAGAGTGAGAGAGTGACCAACTATGCCAGAGACACAGGACAAGGTGGCCGCGTGCTGTGACCTTGACGTGACCTGTGTGCTCCTCCGTGCACTAAGAACCCCCCTGCTCTCTGTCCCTCAGGTGGTGGCTTACTGGCTCAAGATCACAGCCCTCACCTGTGTCTACCCCGGGCTCCTCTTGTCTGCCGCCCCCTCAGAGGTAAGACCCACCTCTACACACCTGCCTCTACCCCCCTCACACCTGTCAAAGCAGCAGCATATATACAATGCTTACATTAAACCAGCTGTATTCCTTTATACCCAACACGACACCGTAGTGACCAGGTGTGTCCTCTGCAGGTGTGGCCGGCGGTGGTGGCACTCCGGCGGTGCTGGGCGTGGCGGTGCCTGCGTCAGGACGACCCAGGACTCCACCTCTCCAGCCTCGACCTCGGGGCAGGCGCTGACGACTCCCTCAGGAAGGGTCGAAGGATCTCCCGGTCCTCCCACGCCACCGACACCACCTTCCTCTCCTCTCCCGCCCACTCTGCCAGGGACGCCGCCACACCTCCACCCTCCCTCACCAGGGTGTGATGGTGGCGTCACTCCCTCACCAGGGTGTGATGGCGGCGTCACTCCCTCACCAGGGTGTGATGGTGGCGTCACTCCCTCACCAGGGTGTGATGGTGGCGTCACTCCCTCACCAGGGTGTGATGGCGGCGTCACTCCCTCACCAGGGTGTGATGGCGGCGTCACTCCCTCACCAGGGTGTGATGGTGGCGTCACTCCCTCACCAGGGTGTGATGGTGGCGTCACTCCCTCACCAGGGTGTGATGGTGGCGTCACTCCCTCACCAGGGTGTGATGGTGGCGTCACTCCCTCACCAGGGTGTGAGGGACGGTATAGCAAGAACTCTCTCACTACCACATATCGTCTCGCACAAAAGGAATATAGTTTTCTGAGTGTTACCCACTGAGCAACGCGGGAATATGGAGGCTGGGCATATTACAGATGAGAGGAACGAGGCACCGCCACTCCCTGAGAGGAGTATCGGTGAGGTGTGCGCCGCCGTGGTGAGTGGTGGTGTGAGGTGGGTGGTGAGGTAGGCAGGTACACACATTCATGAACATTAAGTGAGTCAAGAGGCTTGCGTAGGCCGTAAAAATGAGGTACACAGGTGCCTCGTCCGCTTACATACCTCAGGGCTGGTTCATGAATCAGCTAGGCAAGTACCTGCCAACATTACATCTTCCCTGAGTGATGGCGGCGTGCACAAACCCCTGATGAGCTACGAAGCACCAGGGGCTGTGTATAACAACAATAACATCTGAGTGGCAAGTTTCCAGGCTCGTAAACTGCTTAATACATGTCGACAAATCCGCCAAACATCGAGGAAAGATGTACAGGTTTCGTAAGCGATTGAGCAAAGGTTTGTTGAATCCTGGCCGTGAGTGAGAGTACACTCTCTCCCAAGTCCTCCCATTACCAGCCAGGGTTCGTCAACCGTTTACACAACTCCAACAAAACCTCTACATATTTCCTTAATCACGGAGGCTTTGTTTACATTTATTAAGCAGTTTGCGAGCTTGGAAACTTCACAACCCAAGGTTGTTATTGTTATAAACAACCTCGCAGCGCTTCAGAGCTCGTAAACTGTTTAATAAGTGTAAATAAAGCTACCATGTTTGTTGTTGTTGTTGCTAGGCGCTGAGCAGCAGGTGACACAACCTGCTGCTCAGCCGTCTATTCTTTCCTCACTCTCCTAAGTAAGGAGGAGGTAGGCTGGGCCCAGATTCACGAAAGCACTTACGCAAGTACTTACGAACGTGTACATCTTTCCTCAATCTTTGGCGGCTTTGGTTACATTTATTAAACAGTTTACAAGCATGAAAACTTCCCATTCAACTGTTGTTATTGTTATAAACAGCCTCCTGGTGCTTCCGAGTTCATTAACTGTTTAATAATTGGAAACAAAGCCGTCAAAGATTGAGAAAAGATGTACAGGTTCGTAAATGTTTGCGTAAGTGCTTTCGTGAATCTGGCTCCTGGTCTCCCGGGCACACCTGACTGTACGGCTGGTTGCCCGGGTACTGCGGCCCGGCCACCAGAAGGTGGAGGTGGACCCGCTCAAGCAGAGACAACATTGAGCGAGGAAGGTGTGGGCGCGACAAGCCTGCAGGCACCCGAGGAACTCATCAATATAACATCTGCAACATGTGTGAGGTTGGCAAGTGTCAAACTTGTTTTCAGGCACATAGAGAGGCCTTCAGAACATTATATGCAATCTATGTAAGACCAGCATTTAAACTTGCAGCCCCGGGTGAGGAGTCCCCACCTCACAATACACAAAATATAACTAGATAAAGGGTCGAAATATGTTCTTGACTGGATGTGTGTGACCTTGGCATCATTACACACATCAAAGATCACTGTTGAGGTTCACTGTTAATTAATGCTGGGTTTCGAAAACAATTAACGAACCTTGCTATGTAAAGTCATTCCCGATTGAAAATGGCAAAAATCGGATTGGCAAATTACTCGTGTCGTTGGCCAATTACAAGCTAGCAATCATGACGTCAGAGGCATTGTGGGCGTGTTATTGGTCAATAATGACTCCTTTCATGTTATTCCTAACCCCGCTGTAGCAGACAATTAGAAGCTTAAGCTTAAAACTGTAAATTGATATGTTGACATATTGTGTGGATGTTACAGCAGGTGTTCTGAGTGTACCAAGCCACCATGATCATTAAAGTGTTACTTTAATTACCCGAGTGTTTCGCACCCCCCCGCCCGAGCGTGTGCCCTCGCCTCGAACACCAACCCGTCCTCAGACCAGTCTGTAAACAGTCTTTCATTCGTAAACAGTGGGTTTGGCGGGTGGAGTAACAGCATTTGCCTTGTGTTCATGAGGCCGGGCTGCAGGAGGGCGTGTGAGGATCCTCTGGGCATGAGGCTGGCTGGTTATTAGGACCGCTGCTCCACCACTGCCAAGGTAAGGTGAGGCGAGGTTATTATGAGAGAAAACACGAGTTCAGTATAGCTGTATAACTCATGAAAGGAATATGAGGACTGAGTGAAGGAATGGTGGTCAACCACCTGAACCATCAACCTTCAGGTTCGCAAGCTACAACTACACTGTTTTCTGTACAGTTAAGTCATTGTGGGGGATTGTACAGTTTTATTGAAAACTATAATGTGTGTTAGCTATACATTTACAATAACTTTGGCTCGTTGAAGTGACAGTGTTTGTCATCACCATTGTGTGTTGTCATCACCAGTGTTGTCATCACCAGTGTTGTTGTCATCACCAGTGTTGTCATCACCAGTGTTGTAATCACCAGTGTGTTGTCATCACCAGTGTGTTGTCATCACCAGTGTGTTGTCATCACCAGTGTGTTGTCATCACCAGTGTGTTGTCATCACCAGTGTGTTGTCATCACCAGTGTTGTCATCACCAGTGTTGTCATCACCAGTGTTGTCATCACCAGTGTTGTCATCACCAGTGTTGTCATCACCAGTGTTGTCATCACCAGAGTGTTGACAACCAGCAAGTTGTTTGTCGGTGCACAGTGAACATGGGTGTCGGTGCACAGTGAACACGGGTGTCGGTGCACAGTGAACACGGGTGTCGGTGCACAGTGAACACGGGTGTCGGTGCACAGTGAACACGGGTGTCGGTGCACAGTAAACACGGGTGTCGGTGCACAGTGAACACGGGTGTCGGTGCACAGTGAACACGGGTGTCGGTGCACAGTGAACACGGGTGTCGGTGCACAGTGAACACGGGTGTCGGTGCACAGTGAACACGGGTGTCGGTGCACAGTGAACATGGGTGTAGGTGCACAGTGAACACGGATGTCGGTGCACAGTCGTACTGTAAGGAGTGTCTCAGCTACCTTCGTAAAATGTTTAAAGTACCTAACTAATATGTTAGTGCCTGAACCATCAAATTACCTCTTTAAGAATGTCTAATCCACCTGACTCCCCTATAAAGAGTGCCTGAAGCCACAGACTCCTGGCAGAAAGTGTACTATGATAAATTGCCGAGATTGTGTTGATCCCAAAACTGTTTTTTTTAGTGTTCATAAATAATCAAAATACGTTTGCAGCAGCAGGCTTTGTAGGCGTCGACAGTAAGGCTCCCAACCACTCCAGCTCACGTGACAAGATCAGTCTAAATGCAAATCCGATGTTTCAGGTTTATCACATTAGCACTGTGTAATGCCCCAGTTAGCGACACAATGGCCACGCCAGCAGCCTTGGAGCTGGCTAACGTAATCACCCAACATGAGCTGTTGATTAACAAAAGGTGGTCGTATCTTGGTACATATATTGTGCGAGTCTGACGTGCGTGTTTGTTCTGCATATTGTGAAGGAGGTTATGTGTGCTCTACATTGGCATGGGTTCCGTATGTGTAATTCACACATGGGAAGTGGATTATGACTTCGTTCCGCATTATGTGAGGTGAGTACGTACACACACGCGCAAGCACACACACACACACACACACACACACACACACACACACACACACACACACACACACACACACACACACACACTGGACAATGTGGTCGTGTACTGGAATATCTCCCATCTCCACTTCCACCCCCCCCCCCCCAGGCAAAATTATCAAGTTATAAACTCAGGAAGGCTTCTAATCTTGAGAGCCGCAGCTGTATTATTATAGCCATCCAAAACCATTTAAATAAACCAAACAAGTTAATGCTGTTGTATATCCCTGCCTTAGAGAAGGGACTGGGAGACTGTCAACCTCACATAATGATAACAACCTCACAAAGGGCTATAATGATCTCACACTTTAAGAATGTACTCCCGTATATTATCAAGGCGGCAGGAGACAGAGAGAGACAGAGAGAGACAGAGAAAGACAGAGAAAGACAGAGAAAGACAGAGAGACAGAGAGAGAGAGAGAGAGAGAGAGAGAGAGAGAGAGAGAGAGAGAGAGAGAGAGAGAGAGAGAGAGAGAGAGAGAGAGAGAGAGAGAGAGAGAGAGAGAGCGAGAACGAGAGAGAGAGAGAGAGAGAGAGAGAGAGAGAGAGAGAGAGAGAGCACTGTAAATGTGGCTTCCTACCAGCCATGGCACATCATTTCCAATCGTATCTTTGCGGGAATTAAACGGAATTAGAGTTGGATTAGCATGAGAACTGAACTTGAGTGGCGTCGCAATATGAGGAGGAAGGCAGGAGCCGGAGACACCCACCATGCCTTCCCCTTGACGACTGAGTCAACCTTGTAATTACCTCTCGCCATGAGTGCCTCCGGCGAGTACTAGATTAATCCCAAGCGACATCTGATTCCCAGATTGGCTCTGGGTGTTTCGGAATGGTGTCGTCGTGCATAGCAGTAGTATAATAGATGGAATAGTTGGTGCAAATTGCGCTGTCCCAGGTCTGTGACATATTGATACAGTTCTCAATATAATACTGCCCTCAGGTTATTCATAGGCAACCCAAGATGACACTCTGTCTTTAAGAGCGCATGCTTTAGTTAACTCACCAGTTCTGTCTTGCATTGGGACTCTAATGTGGAATGAGATCAATAGGAGATAAACGCTGTTTTCATCATTGTTTATTATATTATATCTGTGCCTTGCTTCAGGCACAAGCACGTCTCACTTATGTCTTAAGGCGTTGAGTGTATTTAACGGGTCAACTTTGGATACACATTTGTTTGAGTGCGAGGAGTATGGCAAACAATTATGTGTGAAGAGTGGAGGTCCAGTTATTTATACGAGCTCCCCACTGAGAATAGGAACCATCTCCCACTGCCACGCCACCTGCAGCTTCTGGGGGCACCAGTGGACTGGTGTAGGGAACCATCAGTGTACATAGTTGGCAGAGTGATCACTCTATAATCTGAGCATTATTCTGGCCGAAGTCATTGTATTTTGCCTCAAGTCGAAGCGTGGATTGTTCTTCAGTCTTCTTGGTTGGGAAGGGAAGGATAGTAATTTGGAAATGAGGATCCCCGATGGTGCAGCGAAGTGCCATAGTTGACTCTCGGTCAACTATACAGGCAGAGCTCAGGAACCTGATAGACGCTGAGTTCTGCTGCAGATTTTGTAGTTCATTTTGAGGAACGCTGACCGCCGATAAAGCAGGCTCGGAGGGCGTCTGTGCACAGGTTAACTAAGCATCTTTATTGAAATATAAGAGATTGCAGCACAGAGCGAAGTGCTGTGCTGCAATCTCTCTCTCTCTCTCTCTCTCTCTCTCTCTCTCTCTCTCTCTCTCTCTCTCTCTCTCTCTCTCTCTCTCTCTCTCTCTCTCTCTCTCTCTCTCTCTCTCTCTCTCTATATATATATATATATATATATATATATATATATATATATATATTTATATTTATTTATATATATATATATATTTGCAGCACAGAGATATATATATATATATATATATATATATATATATATATATATATATATATATATATATATATATTATATTTATTTATATATATATATATATTTATATATTCTCTCTTATTTTTTGTTTCTTACTTTCTTTATCTTATTATTATTATTATTATTATTATTTATCACTGTAGAAATACATATCAACAAAACCACGAAGCCGCCAGGTACACTTACAGTTAGAGTAAAAAATAATATGAATGTATGGATTTATGTAAATTTATTTATGAAAACATTCGTCTATTCAAAGACAAGAAGAACTATGCTGAGGTAATGAATCATTTGGACATCCATTGGCGGTAATGGCGACACATAGGTAATGGCATTGGACGTAGGTGTTGGACGTGGATGTTGGACATAGGTGTTGGACGTGGGTGCTGGGCGTGGGTGGGACATGGGTGCTGGACGGGGTGGGACATGGGTGCTGAACGTGGATGGGTTATGGGTGCTGGATCCGGTTGAGATATGGGTGCTGGGTCCGGTTGAGATATGGGTGCTGGGTCCGGTTGAGATATGGGTGCTGGGTCCGGTTGAGATATGGGTGCTGGATCCGGTTGAGATATGGGTGCTGGACGTGGGCGGGACATAGGTGCTGGCCACGGGTAAGACATGGGTGCTAGACATGGTATACACGTTAAGGTTGTATGTCTGTATGAAGGGCTGAGTATGACCAAACAACAGAGTGAGAGGTCACAGACGCCACAAAAATGGTCAACGTTTACAACAGAAACCATAAGAATTAACAACAAAAAGAGTTTATTAGAAACCATTCAGAAACATAGAGAGACTCCCGTATATATATATATTATTATAAAACAATACAAGAGGCCATATAACGAAAGAGAGTAGACAATATCAATAAGTATTAGAAACCATTTGAGATCGCTTACCAAGACAAGAGTCGTTAATAATTTAATAAGTCGAAGAATAAAAATATAACCTTAACGATCTGCACGAAATCTTTAAAAATATAAAGAAACCAAATGTAGCTAAAGAAAACTATTAAACAAAACTAATAATCAATATTACGAATGAAATGTCACAAGGGAAGAAAACTATTAGGAGAAAGTGCTAAGCCATTACGATTATATAGCACTTGGAAGGGGTCAGGATAAGGATTTGAGATGGGGGGGGGGGAGAAGGAATGGTGCCTAACCACTTGGACGGTCGGGGATTGAACGCCAACCTGCATGAAGCGAGGCCGTCACTCTACCATCCAGGCTAAGTGGTTGGGCTGTCACAAGAGAACAAACAGAAACCAAGAGTAGTAAAGATAACTTTAAGAAATGTCTTTCAGAGCATATTGTACACCGGCGGAGAACCCGGGCAACCCCTTCACCATGATAACGGACAGAAGGTGGTAGAATACTCGATAAGATCGCTGACGGTTGCCATGAGGTGACAGGAGCCAGGAGGTGCCAGGAGCCAGGAGGCGCCAGGAGCCAGGAGGCGCCAGGAGCCAGAAGGCGCCAGGACCCAGGAGTCGCCAGGAGCCAGGAGACGCCAGGAGCCAGGAGGCTCCATGAGCCAGGAGGCGCCATGAGCCAGGAGCCGCCCATGAGCCAGGAGCCGCCCATGAGCCAGGAGCCGCCCATGAGCCAGGAGCCGCCCATGAGCCAGGAGCCGCCCATGAGCCAGGAGCCGCCCATGAGCCAGGAGCCGCCCATGAGCCAGGAGACGTCATGAGCCAGGAGGCGCCATGAGACACTACAGAACGCTGTGGAAGCGGATGAAGTTGATGAAGCATATAAGGAGGTAGATGAGGAAGCAGATCCTGTCGAGGACTGCCGCGAGGAACACCCACTCGTGTCTGATGACCGCCTCTGGCAGGTGGGGAGAGGTGAGCGGGTAGTGGTAGGCCGACACCGTCGTCAACGATGACGTCGTCGTCGTTGTCGTCGTCCCCAGCTCTACGTCTTCAGACTTGAGGAGGTGAGGCAGAGTCCGCCTGAATCCAGATACCTGAGAGAGAGAATGAGAGAGAGGTGAGGGAGAGTGACGAGGACGAGAGGTGAGGTAGTGTTGGGGAAGAGAAGAAAAAATCAAGAAGGCGCTCGGAAAATTGGATAGCATTGCAGGGTAATGGAGAACGTTTGTGCCTCGGACGCTTGACTTAACACGCTCACGTTACCAGACATGCAGCTAAAGCCATGCTGCCCTGTCAATACTCTCCCAAACTTTGTATAAGTGACAGCATGAACACCTCAGCGGGTGTTCTTCCTATTAGAAGTGAGGGGCGTGTCACTTACCACGGTGACACATATTCCTAAGGCGGTGTGTTCACTCACAGAATAAGTGCCGCTGTCCTATAGCCTCGACATTCGGAGCAAAGTGCTACCATACCTGAGAAAAATGCTCACCAAGTTATTGTAGTCAGAGAGGAAGAGCCAGGGAGCGAGGTAGGAGAGAGGGGTGGTGAGGAAGCGTGGGAGGCCGGCGGTGTGCGGGTGGTGCACCATCCTCACCACCACCACACTCACAAACAGCACCACCATCACCACAATCACCTGTTCGCACACCAGCTGAACTGTGGGAGGCGAGAAGAACAAGGTCTGAGCACTGAACGATGGACACCAATAGTCTATTAGCTGTGTAACGCACTCTTTACCAGTCATTCATCACCATTGTAACATGATGCACATTTATACATTGTGGAATGCAACAAAAATACAGCACAATATAATAATACAATACTACACAATATAAGTAAAACGTAAGTCACCGTAATGGGGCTGAAAATAAAGGTGAGGACAGGTCCGCGATGGAGCATTATCAAAGGGTGTAGAAACAGTTCAAGTATGTGGTAAGAAGGTGAGGTGAATGGCGAAGAGTTAAAAGGAATGTTCCTATGAACTGCTCACAGCCTTGCCTTACACAGGGACACCACACTCTTCACAGGACGGACCCTAGCGTCGTCCCCTCCAGGTGTGTGGGCTGGGTGTCCACACACTACATCTTCAGGTGTGTGGGCCGAGTGTCCACACACTACATCTTCAGGTGTGTGGACCGGGTGTCCACACACTACATCTTCAGGTGTGTGGGCCGGGTGTCCACACACTACATCTTCAGGTGTGTAGCCCCCCTTCCCATCCGGTCCATTGGTGCCGTGAGGGGGCTTAGTGGTCAGCTGCCGGAGTGTGATGCTCCATGGGACATTCCTTTGTCCTTTTGTGCCCTTATGCTCCTGCTGCTGTCTTCTCCAATTCTGCCAGATAGCTTTTCCTTTTCCTTATGTTTCGTTTTTCTTCCCCCCTCTTCTCCTATCTGCTTATTGTTTCATGCCGACTTTTTGCTTGTTTTGGTTATTCTTTTGGACTTCTTCTATTTTGTTGCCCGGATGCTTGGGGAGGCATACTCTAGCATCCGTAGAACTGTAGTACCCAACGTTGAGAGCGAAGGGAACCTTTTTTGTCAATCCTCCTTTCGTCATTGAACCCAAACTCGACGGACTGACGGTTCTTAAGATGGCGTTTGTGGGGCGTATACTCACGACGCACCCCTAGGGAGCCCCGACATGATCGGCGATAGCTTCTTGTTGGGTGTCCTGCCTCTAATTGTGGCTCCATGGTGGGTATGGGGGCACACTCGTGAATGAATGTTTTTCTATTCGTACTTATGTCTAATTCTGTTCCTCTTTTACCTTCTCAGGCTCATAGGGTGGGCGACCAAGCCCCCGAGTTGGACCGTGTTGAAAGACTGGGCTCTGTAGCCCCCACTGCATTGGGCCCCAACTTTGCTCCTCCTTTAACCTTTATGACTACTCCCCTTGACTCCCCTCCCTCCTCTGTGGTTGGGTCGAGCCCCAAGCCCCCAGTGGTGACCACCTTGTCCCCTGACACTGCCCAGTCTCTAGTTGTGACTACTGTGGCTTTTAACCCCTCTCTCTCTCTGGGGGTTCTCAACGCCGTCCTCGATACGGTCGCACTCGCTCAATTCCTTCCGGTACTGATGCATATCAAGCCTTGTTTGGTCCCGCGTCGTGGGCCAAATATTTTGAACTCCTACTTCTTGATTCTGCAGCTCCTGACGATTTCTCCCTTCATAGGCACATTGTTGAATCCGTAGATGCCTCTGTTACTTTCCACCCCATCCGTCTCGGTACACATATCGTTGCTGCTCCTTCTCAGGATGCAGCCTCTCGCTTGGCCGCCTTGTCCTGCCTTGTCGAGACCCCTGTTTGGGTCTCCAAGAACGCTCGGTTGAATGCCAATGTTGGCACTATTCTCCTCCCACTCCATGTTGCTACCGGTGTTCGGAATCTCCAGGACTGCCACGAAGATATTCGTCATATCCTCGATGCCCAGAGCCATTCTGACCTCCAGGTAGACTCGTTTACTCGTCCCCCTCGTGGTCATCGCCGTCAACCCTTTTGGGTTGTGAAGATTATCTTTGATGGTAGGACCCTTCCGCCCTGTCATTCTTGCTGGTGCCAGGTGCTCTGTCCAGGAGTACATTCCTTCTCCCGGCTCTGTAATAAGTGCTGGAGGTTTGGGCATGGTGCCCTCCGCTGCTCTGGTACTGTCTTTCTCTGTCCTTTGTGTGGGGGTGAAAGTCATTCTAAGTCGGAGTGCACTTCTCCCCAGGCTCGCTGCCTCAATTGCGGTGAGGCCCACCCTACCTTCTCCCATGTATTGATGCATTACAAGCTTGAGGTAGCCGTCCTCAACTTGAAGCACTGGGAGCGTTTGTCTTTTCCTGAGGCGAGGCGCAAAGTTTGCCGACTCCCGCCTTATGCTAACGTCTCTTATGCTCGCGAGTTTCACTCTTCCTCTCCTCGTCCTTCCCACCTTCCTCAGACCCAAATCCGTTTCCAAGCCTTGGACCCTGATATGCCCACTGCCCCCTCCTCTGTTCCTTTGAGTTCTGTCCCTCCTGGTCCTCTGTCTGGGGTTCCCCTTCTTTCTGCCCGGTCTGTCATGTCTCCTGTGTCTTCTTCCTCGTTTCCCTCCGATCCCCCTTCCCATTCTTCACCTCCGTTTATTGGCTCTCCACGCTGCCTGTCAGTATGGGCTGATGTCCATCGCTCTCCCAACGGCCGTCGTGTATGCTCTCGTTCTGCTTCTCCTGTTGAGATGCTGGAATCCGTTGCCCAGTACATATTTGCTGGGACACCTGTCATTTTGAGTCAGAAGCGTAAGTCTGGCTCCTCTCCTTCCTCCTCCCCAGCAGGTAAAAAGGCTTCACTTTCTTCCTCGCCCTCTACTTCTGACTCTCGGTCCGTCCCATCCCGTTTCGGTGGTTACGCCCCCTGTTCCTGCTATGGAGGTCTCTTTGGCCCCTCACTTTCCTCTCGGTTGGTGCCCTGCTGAGGTGCATCCCCTGGTTTCTGTCCCTCCTGCTGCTGTCCTTGACCCTCGGTTATCCCCCCTCTTCTCTCCCTGCTCCGGACCCTAGTCGACCGCCTCCGGTCGGTTCTCTAGCTCCGTTCCCTCCTTCTTTACTCAGTTTACCCATGCCTCCTAACCCTGACTTCGCTGACCCTGACCCTGATCCTGCGCTTCTTTAACGTGCTGTGTTCCCTTTTTGCCTTTGTTTCTTCGTTGTTCTCTGTTGCTGTCCTTTCTCTTCTCGTCGATGTCTATTCTTCAATGGAACGGTCGTGGTTATTACCCCAATTTCCTTGAACTCCAGCTTCTGATTTCGCGGTTTTCGCCCCTTTGTGTCTGTCTCCAGGAGCCGATGCTTGGTGCTCGTCCTGGTCGCTTTTGTGGCTATTCCTTTCTCTCCCCCCCCCCCAGCTGTTGCTGGGGCTCCTAACTCTTCTGCTCTCTTGATTCGCTCTGATGTTCCCTTTGTCCCCTTACTTTTTCCTTTGCCTCTCCATTGTTCTGCTGCTCGTATCTTTGTGAGGAAATGGTACACCGTTTGTTCCATTTATCTCCCCCCGAGTGTCCCGCTTTCTCTTCCCGATCTGAAACACTTCCTGGACTCCTTGCCAGAGCCTGTGCTCCTGCTGGGTGATATCAATTGTCGTCATTCCCTTTGGGGTGATGTTCTGACGAACACCCGGGCCGGGTATCCACACATTATAAGACACTACACAACAATGATGCAATAACACACAATATAATAATACAGTACAATGTACAATGAAATATTCAAGACATTACATTACAAAACAATACAGCGTAATATAAAAAATTATTTGTAATTAGCATAATAATTATCATAAATAAATAAATAAATATGTTTATTCAGGTAAGGTACATACATACATACAAGTGATGTTACATTAATGGATTGATATATAGATAGAGCTAGTACATACAATGCCTAAAGCCACTATTACGCAATGCGTTTCGGGCAACAAACGCATCATGAAAAACAACAGTAATAATTATAATAAAAGTAATTAAAAACAAATAATAATATTAATAAAATTAGTAATAAAATAATAAGAATAACAATAATATAACAATAAGAATAACAATAACCATGAAGACAACAGGTGTCCACAGAGGCTAAAGTCGGCCGCTGTGTGTGATTAATTAGGCAAGCTTTGTAACTGCTCTCTTATTACAGTCACCAAGCTGTACCCTGAGTCAGGGTCCCGCTACAGCCACCACATGAGAGGGACTTACCTATGAGGAGGTATGAGAGGGGGCGTGGGCCATTACATGAGAGAGACTTACCTATGAGTGGGGTGTGGGAGGGGGCGTGGGCCACCACATGAGAGGTGTAGGCCACAAAGAGCATGTCCAAGATGAGACACAGTCCTCCCACGGTGAGCTTCTCCCCGGCCCCTGGCGGGAGGAGGAACACCACCAGCGTCAGCAGTGACAGACCTGGGGGTTAAGAGCGTCAGCAGTGACAGACCTGGGGGTTAAGAGCGTCAGCAGTGACAGACCTGGTGGTTAACAGTGTCAGCAACCTAAGCTGCAGCACATAAGAGCCGAAAGTGCAAAACCTATCCCAGTTGCAACAACATCAACACACCTGTTGCAGGAAATTGTCAGCAGTGTTTGTCCTTTGGTATGGGAGTGTCAGTACCGACATTCCCTGGACCATGTTGAGGACTAAAGTATACTCTGCGGTTGGTCAGTGAGGTACTGTGGTGGGCTTAATGAGCCTCCAGAGGTAGACAGGTCTCACGCTCAACACCAAACCAACCCAGCACATCACCATAGTTATTACATATAATAGCTTGGTCTTTCTTTAACAGGTGCCACGAACCAAGGATTTTCCTGTTTTTTTTTTTAGTTTTTTTCCTTCCAGTGTAAACATGGAAACATTCTGAGCACTCCAGGTGGAAACTCTGTGAGTGCGGCATGATCTCCCACACTACATCACCGAATGCTTAGTTATTAGATCTTTCAGACCCGGTGGCATGAGCTTTGCAATTACTTCATTCACTCTCGTGTTCTTGAAGATATCCTCATATTGCACCCAAAATTTGCCAGTGTAGACTACTGAACATATGGCCTTGTATGACAAACCATCCTGCGAGATGAGGACTTCTAGTATAACTGATTCCTTATTCACTCTTGTGTTCATGATATCCTCATAATGCACCCAGAGTCTGCCAGTGCAGACTACTTATCACATGCCACTGGATGACTAACCATCCTGTGCGATGGGGATTTTTTAGTTCAACGTAGCTAGCTTTTTGACACACTGTACTCCCTTTCATATAGTCTAGGGTAGCTGCAACAATACCTAATGTATTAATAAAAAAAATTCCCTGCCATGCCAAGCGTTGACAGATCCATTACACGGGGTGCATGAGGGCGGGATGGGTCGGGCTCCCCAAAGATGGAGACGGCACCTCCCACAACTACACGTCTTTCTAGATATATACACACCACCTGTCCATGCCTGTAATTGCCTGCCTACTGTTATGAACACCTGTGATAGGCTCTACGCCTGGTTATATCTTATATACATCTGGCTGCGCTTTACGCACCTGGCTCCACCTCTGTGTCTTGCTAATTCGCTACCCACCTCCAGAGGTTATACACCTGCCACACCTACAATCATGCCTCTTCCTTGGCATGCTTGCCCAAGATGTAGATAACCTATTAAGGACATGTGTGTAACCTCTGCTCATCTCCATAAACACCGTCCTACACTATTTACACACACCTGTCACGGGGAGCTTGATGATCCAGGAGTAGGCCGGGGCATCTCGGGTCAGGATGAAGGTGACCCAGAGGGAGATGTAAGGCTCCGGACAGCAGTCGTAGGCGTTGAGGTGTCGTGTGATCCCAGCCTCGACCACCCGCCACTCCCCTCGGGTGAGGCCTTCACCTTCTTCGCCGTCCCGCTGGGGAATATCCACCTGTTCAGGGTGAGAGACACAGACCTCACAGTGAACACCTCTCACTGACTACCAGAGGTGGAGCTCTAGCTCTTTATGCCCCGCCTCCTAGCCTTGTTTTGATCAGGCCTTTGTTGACCTAAGCTGCGGAACACACAGGACCAGATTCTGGTGTTCTCACAGAGGCGAGGGGAGCATTATGTCACCTAACAAACATCAACATGGGTTCTGGAAAGGGAAATCATGCCTAATAAACTCTTTGGAATTCTATAAATTGATAAAATAACGAGGATAAAGCAGGACAGAGAAGGATGGGCAGACTGCATATTTCTGGACTGTCAAAAAGCTTTTAATACAGTACCACACATGAGACAGCTATTCAAACTTGAGAGGCAGGCAGGAGTAAGCGGAAAAACCCTAGCATGGGTATGGAACTACCTAACAGGAAGGAGACAGAGAGTAACGGTAAGGGGCGAGAAGTCGGACTGGCGAATAGTAGCGAGTGGAGTATCTCAAGGATCGGTGCTGGGACCAATTCTATTCCTAATATACCTAAATGACATGTTTACAGGAGTAGAATGCTACATGCGATGTTCGCGGATGACGCAAAATTTATAAGACGAGTTGTGACAGATGAGGAGTGTAGGATCCTCCAAGATCCTCCAAGACAGTACACAATGAAGGGGAACTGCCTACCTGTGACGATTCGAGAAAGAGACCTGGGAGTGGATGTAACGCCTAATCTAACTCCTGAGGCACATATAAATAGGATAACGACAGCAGCGTACTCTGCACTGGCAAAAGTTAGAACATCATTCAGAAACCTAAGTAAGGGGGAATTTAGGGTGCTTTACACTGCCTATATGAGACCAGTCTTAGAGTATGCCGCGTCATCACAGAGTCCCCATCTGTAGAAACACATAAGGAAACTGGAAAAGGTTCAGAAGTTTGCGCCGAGGCTCGTCCCAGAATAACGAGGGATGGGATATGAAGAGCGCCTGAAGGAACTGAACCTTACACCACTAGAAAAAAAGGGAGAGGGGGGGGGATATGATAGGAACGAATAAAATACTCAGGGAAATTGACAAAGTGGAAATAGACGAAATGTTCACACGGAATACTAACAGAACGAGGGGACATGGGTGGAAGCTTGAAACTCAGATGAGTCACAGAGATGTTAGGAAGTTTTCTTTTAGCGTTAGAGTAGTGGAAAAATGGAATGCCCTTAAGGAACAGGTTTTGGAAGCAAACTCTATTCATAATTTTAAAACTAGATACAATAGGGAAATAGGACCGGAGTCAGTGCTGTAAACAACCGATGGCTAGAAAGGCGGGATCCAAGAGTCAATGCTCGATCCTGCAGACACGGATAGGTAAGTACACACACACACATACACACACACACACGGTCGAGAGGCGGGACCAAAGAGACAAAAGTTCAATCCCCGCAAGCACAACTAGGTGAGTACACACACACACACACACACACTCGCGCTCACACACATACACAGAGGGCCTGATAGCTGAGTGGAGAGCGCTCTGGACGCCTAATCCTAGGGTCCGGGATCGATTCCCGGTGATGGGAGAAACAAAAGGGGCAGAGTTTCTTTCACCCTGATGCTCCTGTTACCTAGCAGTAAATAGGTACCTGGGAGTTAGACAGCTGTTACGGGCTGCTTCCTGTGTGTGTGTGTGGAAAATAAAAATTAATTAGTTAATAGTTAGTAATAGTTAATTGATTGACAGTTGAGAGGCCGAAAGAGCAGAGCTCAACCCCCACAAGCACAACTAGGGGAATACACAGCACCTCACCTTGGGTTCTTTATCCAGGAGCCTGAGGTCGAGGGTGTGGCCATGATGGACCCAGGAGCCGAGAACGAGGGAGCAGTTGTGAGTGTCGTGGGGCCAGTAGGTGAGGTCCACCACACACACGGCCCTCAGCCTGGCTGGCGGGGCGTACAGTACTCGCCCATCAGGGTACACCAGCGTCAAGGTGTCGTCCCGGAAGACACCTTCACCTGCCTCGGCACTGGAAAGGTCAGTAAATATTTAGATATTGTTCAAACTGACTAAAATATTCGTAAATAAAAAAGCTAATGCTACTTGGCTCATTCCGAGCAAACCCACTATCACCTGGGTCGACATGCGATATAGAAAACCTAAAATTAATTATGAAGTTTGTCCAGCAGGACAAGCAAAGATAGGGTTCTCTCACCCAGAAAGGGTCTCTCCTAAAGGGTTCTCTCACATGTATCAAACAAATATTAGGAAGAGGAGCGGGTCACCGATAAAGAAGAAAAGCAAAGTCAGTGATGATAAAGACATGGATGGTATTTTAAGAACGTTATTTCTGTGCGTAACAGAACAAAAACTTGTTACACCTTGTTATTTTACCAGCTGCTCAACAAATCCATGAAGGTGACGGAGAGGATTGACTAGGTTAGCGGTTACTAGGGAGGAAATTATTAAACTAATTGAAAAATTAAAGCCTAAGAAGTCTTCCAATCTATGCGAAGGATTTGCCATTGCAAATGAAATAAATCATTAGTGAAGCAGAGTATTGGAATCATTACAGAGCTGCGCATGTCCTACAGATCGTTAAGGTTACTACGTCACTTGTGTCCAACTTCGCCAATTAGATTAACATCTGTTGTAGGAAAATTGCTTGAATCAATGATCACAAAATTAATTCATAAATTACTACGAATCGCCTTTGTTTAACAAATTAACTCATTATTTTCCACCTTTTTTTAGCTGATAGCGGAGAGGATAGCGATACTGTGACCCTTGACTTTAGCAAAACTTTTAATATTCTACCTGAGTGGAGTGACCATGGCTCCCCAAGGCCTCTATAGTATATAACATGTAAACATGAGTATGAAACAAGAGTGAACTGCAAAAGTTGCAAGTTTGCAGACAATTCAGAAAAAGGCTGTGAAATAAATTCAGAATATTTAAAATTAGTGTAAGACTAATTAAATTAGACTAATTAGACTTTTAAAATGGGCTAATGATTGGCATATGCTGTTTCAAGCGTAGGTTATATATATATATATATATATATATATATATATATATATATATATATATATATATATATATATATATATATACGAACAGCCCTGAACGGTCTCCAGGCATATATGCAACTGAAAACTCACACCCCAGAAGTGATTCGAACCCATACTGCCAGGAGCACTATGCAGCTGGTGTACAGGGCACCAGGGAATTATGGGTGGTGACGGCGAGAGAGTTCAGTTAGCTGTGAGACGTCGTCTGGGTAACATATAAGTTGAGTTTTTTGTTTCATTTGTAGATAGGTAGCATAATTTCAATCTGAAGGATGTTACCTTTTAATTATTTAGCCGTTTATTCACTTGTGTTATTCAAAGTAATTGCCATCTTAAATAATATTAATATTACACGCTTTTATTTGTTGTTAAATATACTTTATATATAAATAGTTTTGCCTATATTTTAACCTGGTGTTAGGTATCATTGTTTTTTCTTTCTTGTACCATATCACGGGGTACCCTGGTATATCATATTTAGATACAGATTTTTCCCCTTAGATTATAATTAACACTGTACCTGATATATGAGCTGTGCGTACGATAGGCAACAACCATCACCAGAGAAATCTTAGCAAACAACACAGAAATCATCGATAGATACAGCGATAGCAGGCGGCTCGACATCTGCGAGGCACTACACATCAAACATTCAACACCAGCAATCAACAGCTAATTAATGCACAACTATATTCTACCCACTTCAAGACTCCGAACCAATATAGAAGCACCAAGAGGAAGTATGGGCCAATAGGCCCTCTGCAGTTCCATTCTTATGTTCTCATATCCAATTAATTTGTCTTGCGTTGTCACAAGTTTTTTCCTCACCCAACACTGTTGCACCATATCACCTCACCCAAATGCGAGCATAAGTATGGACGGATTTGCGTATTTACAGGTTACAGTTGTGTGTGTAAACTAAAGTCTTTGAAAATGTAATAAGTTATTACGAAATGCGTTCAGGCGTCACTTCAGATTAGAAGTAATAATGAATTTTTAGAATTGATTTTTCAATTACCATCGGCAGTGAAAAGAAACATAAGAAATATTGAGAAAATTCGTGTTAGAATTATTAATCTTACCTTTTCGGTCATATTTAACAACATATGTTTACAAGAAAGACTGCTACCAAAATATATTGCCGGCACTCAGATGGTAACTTTTCAATTGCATATAGTCCTGGGAACCATTCAGGCTTGTTTGCATTTGTGTTTCTCACGTGTGCCCCAAAAAATGAAGTGATTTGATAAAATACTATGCCCAAGATTACCATCAGAGTGCTGGCGGGCTGATGGAGAATTAGCCTCGGCTACCATCAGCTTTTGTCCGGTCGTGATGGTCGAGTGGATAAGGTGTCCTGTACACACACACCAGTTGCATTGTGCTCCTGGCAGTATGGGTTCGAGTCACTTCTGGCGTGTGAGTTTTCAGTTGTATAGAGTCCTGGGGACCATTCGGGCTTGTTTGCATTTGTGTTCTTCACGTGTGCCCCAAAGAATGAGGTGATTTGATAAAATACTATGCCCAAGATTACCATCAGAGTGCCGGAGGGCTGATGGGCAAATAACCACGGCTACCATCAGCTTTTGTAAGATCGTGATGGTCGAGTGGATAAGGTGTCCTGTACACACACACCAGTTGCATTGTGCTCCTGGCAGTATGGGTTCGAGTCAATTCTGGGGTGTGAGTTTTCACTTGCATATATGCCTGGAGACCGTTCAGGCCTGTTCATATATATGTATATATATATATATATATATATATATATATATATATATATATATATATATATATATATATATATATATATATATATATATATATATATATATATATATATATATATATATATATTCTTCACCTTGAAATAACGAAAATGAGTTTTGGAGAACTCCTCTTTTAGCTAAGCCCTGATGCTAGGAAAATAGAGGGATAGAAGCCCTAAACCAGAAGATAGTAAATACTGAATATGCGGTCATATTCAATGAGACATGTTTAAAAGAAAACCTGCTGTCAGTATACACACAAATATATATATATATATATATATATATATATATATATATATATATATATATATATATACTGACTGAGTGGATATGAACGGGAGCTGCTCGATATGGGCCAATATACCTTCTGCAGTCCTTTATTGTTCTTGTATATAAAACATCAGTGGCCTCTTACAGTTATATATTTCCCTCTATTGACTTTCGTCTGCCTATCGTCTCTTCCTCTTACAACACCTCTTATTCCTCTACCCCTCCTCTTCCTCTCTTTACAACATCTCCTCTACCCCTCCCCCAGCCTACCTGTTATACAGCCTGAGGTCAGGCATCCATATCTCGCCTGGGTCCATAGCAAGCTTTTCAATCCCCCCGATGGGCAGGTAGGTCAGGCGCCTGTCAATCCACTCCTGTAGTCACCACAAAAAGGGAAATCAGTATTAAAATAAATTACCGATAAAACAACGTAGTCGGCTCAATATAGCGCCAAAATAGCCATACCCCCAAAATTGCAAAGAAACGCTTTATAGTCGTTTCTGCGAAAAATCGACCATAAAGTCGTTTCTGCAGACTGCGAGAGCAAGGGGCCAGATTCACGGAAGCACTTACGCAAACACTTACGAACCTGTACACCTTTTATCAATCTTTGACGGCTTTATTTCCAATTATTAAACAGTTAATGAACTCCGAAGCACCAGGGGGCTGTTTATAACAATAACAACAGTTGAATGGGAAGTTTTCATGCTTGTAAACTGTATAATAAATGTAACAAAACCAGTCAAAGATTGAGGAAAGATGTACACGTTCGTAAGTGCTTGCGTAAGTGCTTTCGTGAATCTGGCCCAAGGCCTCTATCGATCCTCTTGACTTCAGGGGCTTTAAGCACGAAATGTCAGAAAAGTTACCACGTGGATACCTGGCTTGTGACGGCCAAGAGTTCACAGCGACGTCGCCTCCTTGATCCTTCAATATCGACTCTTCCTATCATTGTGAGGCAGAATTCAGAAGCACTGGACTGTTCACCCGGAAAGTGAGAACGTGAGCTGACAACACACATTAACACCCCAACTGGCCAACACCCGAGTAAGCTACAGAGCCTGGACATGGACGAATGAATATACCTGGCTCTGTACACAACGTATGTGAGACCAACTTTTGTATATACAGCACCGGCGTGGAATCCTCACATGATAAGGTATTAGAGAACTTAAAAAGTTCCAAAAGATATGCAAATAATAATGAAAGATTAAAGGCAGAAGTTTTATTTTTTTTTTTACTAATACCTTCTTCCTGGATGTGAGAAAAAAAAAACATACAAAATAGGTCAGGGAGAGTAAGAGCGCTGGCAAGAAGGTTCATCTGTCATGGATGGCAGCTGACCTTTTCTCACCCTCGAATTCCAGATATTTTAAAATGTTACCGCGAAAGTGACTCAAAAGACAGTGAAGAAAATAATCTTCAAAGAAGACAAAATCCATAAAATATTAAGAAACACAGTGATGTACTTACAAATATGATCCAAGCATCAACCTCCAGAATGTGGCTGTCTTCGTGCTGTGAAGTAAATTAAACGGTCAGTTATCAGTTCACAGTAAAATACCCAACACAGACGCAACTATATAACAAAACAAGTCACACGTGTAAGTTATAAGATAATAAATAACAAGTTGGCAGCACTGTGGTAGAGATCCATCTATCTCTCCATCACCTCTCTTCACTGTGGTGTTCTCTCCATCACCAGGTGGAGAGAACACCACAGTGAACACATTCTACTCGTCAGCGGTACAAGGTAGATCACCAGGTGGAGAGAACACCACAGTGAACACATTGTACTCGTCAGCAGTACAAGGTAGATCACCAGGTGGAGAGAACACCACAGTGAACACATTGTACTCGTCAGCGGTACAAGGTAGATCACCAGGTGGAGAGAACACCACAGTGAACACATTGTACTCGTCAGCGGTACAAGGTACCTACTATATCGAAGTGTTTGAGTGTGAGGCGTCGTAGCCTGAGCTGAGTAGTCCTGGCGGGGAGGGAGGAGCGGTCGTAGCCCCGCAGTAGCCTCTCCCGCAGCTCCTGCTCCTGGGACATCAGGTCCTCGTACCCCTCACCTGGCGGGTGGGGAGAAGTGTTAATTTAATTGTAAATTAAATTTAAATGTTTATTCAGATATAAACACAGAGAGGGACGAGGCAGCAAGCTATGCTGACCCCAGTCACAACACCTGTTTATATGTTGACAAACAATCTCCATGTTACTGAACATTCCCAAGATGTCCACTTGCTCACCGAACACTAGGCTTTTATCATTCATTTGTATACCTGCCCGAGTTGCTATATCATGATATCCTGTTACCCTCATCTCTCTCTCTCTCTCTCTCTTAGAAATTATGGAAAATGAGTGGAAATGCTACGCAAGTGTCCCTACCAAGCTAACAACAAGCAAAACATCAAACAAACAACGGTGATATTAGAGTTCTTGGAAGTTATGAGGACTGACCAATGAGCAGCGAGGTAGGCACAATTGACCGCTTCCTCTCCAACACCTTCTGCACCTTCCTCTCTTGTATTCTGTCTCTTCCTGCACGCACATGCACTCATACACACACCGACATACACATGCTCGCGTGCACACACACACACACCAACCTGTTGATTGACGGTTGAGAGGCGGGACCAAAGAGCCAGAGCTCAACCCCCGCAAACACAATTAGGTGCACACACACACACACACACACACACACACACACACACACACACACACACACACACAGCCATGTGAAGGGCTGTGAAGGCTGTTGGTCCAGACGGGATCTCACCATGGGTATTGAAAGAGTGTGCAGAGGCACTGTGCTTGCCACTCTCCATAGTGTACAGTAGGTCACTGGAGCCGGGAGACCTACCAGAAATATGGAAGGTGGCTAATGTGGTCCCAATATACAAAAAAGGGTGACAGACAAGAGGCACTGAACTACAGGCCAGTGTCCTTGACTTGTATACCATGCAAAGTGATGAAGATCATGTGAAAAAATCTAGTAACACATCTGGAGAGAAGGGACTTCGTGATAAATCGCCAACATGGGTTCAGGGAGGGTAAATCTTGCCTTAATGACTTAATAGAATTCTACGATCAGGTGAAAAACATTAAGCAAGAACGAGAAGGCTGGTCGGACTGCATTTTTTTGGACTGTCGAAAAGCCTATGACACAGTCCCCCATAAGAGGCTGGTACATAAGCTGGAGAGACAGGCAGGAGTAACTGGTAAAATGCTCCAGTGGATAAGGGAATACCTAAGCAGAAGGAAGCAAAGAGTTACAGTGAGGGGTGAGACCTCAGATTGGCGTGAAGTCACCAGTGGAGTTCCACAGGGCTCTGAACTCGGTTCTATCCTGTTTCTGATATACGTAAACGATCTCCCTGAGGGTATAGACTCATTCCTCTCAATGTTTGCTGACGATGCCAAAATTATGAGAAGGATTAAGATAGAGGAGGACTGCTTGAGGCTTTAAGAAGACCTAGACAAGCTAAAGGAATGGTCGAACAAGTGGTTGTTAGAGTTTAACCCAAGCAAATGTAATGTAATGAAGATATGTGTAGGGAGCAGGAGACCAGATACAAGGTATCATTTGGGAGATGAAATTCTTCAAGAGTCAGAGAGAGAGAAAGACTTTATGGTTGATATCTTGCCAGACCTGTCCCCTGAAGCCCATATCAAGAGGATAACATCAGCAGCATATGCCAGGTTGGCCAACATAAGAACAGCAATTAGAAACTTGTGTAAGGAATCATTAAGCACTTTGTATACCACATATGTCAGACCAATCCTGGAGTATGCTGCTACAGAATGGAGTCCATATCTAGTCAAGCATAAGACTAAACTGGATAAGGTTCCCACCGAGTATATAGTACCACCATAGTACCCGAGCTGAGAGGTATGAGCTACGATGGGAGACTACGGGAGTTGAACCTCACGTCGCTGGAAGACAGAAGAGTTATGGGGCACATTATCACCTCATACAAGATTCTCAAATGAATTGATAGTATAGATAAGGACATGCTATTTAACACAAGGGGCACACGCACTAGGGGATACAGGTGGAAGCTGAGTGCCCAAATGAGCCACAGATATATTAGAAAGAACTATTTCAGTGTCAGAGTGGTTGACAAATGGAATGCATCAGGAAGTGATGTGGTGAAGGCTGACTCCATACACAGTTTCAAGTGTAGATGTGGGACATTTGGGGCGTGACTCTATTTATTTAAATATTAATGTAATGAAATTCTATTACGAAGGACCACCCGCTTTTATAGTAAAGAGGGAAACTAATAAAATATGATCAGTAGAAAATTTCTAGATGAAACCAGTAACTATGGATAAAATACTAGAGAATATGATCACTTGTATAATTAATGGGCTATGTCATGGGTTCGTATCCTGGCCGGGGAGGATTTACTGGGCGCAAATCCTTAACTGTAGCCTCTGTTTAACACAACAGTAAAATGTGTACTTGGATGAAAAAACGATTCTTCGCGGCAGGGGATCGTATTCCAGGGACCATAGGATTAAGGACTTGCCCGAAACGCTACGCGTACTAGTGGCTGTACAAGAATGTAACAACTCTTGTATATATCTCAAAAAAAAAATGTATTAAAGTTAACTAAAAAATTAAATAAAAATAAACTCTAAATATTCATAGAATAGACAGAAATAAATGCCTGCTAGGATTTTCCCACAACAGTGATGGACACATACACAGTGATGGACACATACACAGTGATGGACACATACAGTGATGGACACATACACAGTGATGACACATATACAGTGATGGACACATACACAGTGATACAGTGAAGCACACGGGTGCTGTTGACTACTCACAGGACGGCCACAGAAGCAGTAGCGTCATCATGATCTTCACAACAACCATCGTTTGTTCAAACGGGAGTTTACGCATGTTGCGGTCTACCTGAGAAGGTTGTTGTTGACCTGAGAAGGTTGTGGGTGACCTGGAGAGGTTGTAGGTGACCTGGAGAGATGGTGGGTGACCTGGGGAGGTTGTAGGTGACCTGGGAAGGTTGTCGGTGATCTGGGAAGGTTGTGGATGACTTGGAGAGATTGTGGGTACCCTGCGGAGGTTGTGGGTGACCTGGGGAGGTTGTGGGTACCCTGCGGAGGTTGTGGGTGACCTGGGGAGGTTGTAGGTGACCTGGAGAGCTGACCACAGACACTTGTGCTGACCTGTGGGGAATATTTAGCATTAATAATAAGTTCAGCAATAAAGACAAATCTAATAATAATCTTCATATACGATAATAATTATGGGTTCATTTTAGCAGATAATAATTGCGATAAAGTAAACCAGATGACTGGGTGGCAGAGGGTAGCCTAGCGGGCTGAGAGTGTCTCCACTCCGCCTCTTCTATGTCCACCATCTTACATATATTGACGTAATGGACAAATTGTTTTCCTTTATTATATAATATACAATATAATGTACATATGGTAGCCCATCCCATATGTTCACCAATTTACAAGGGAAAATACTATATATATATATATATATATATATATATATATATATATATATATATATATATATATATATATATATATATATATATTATATATTATATATTATATATATATATATATATATATATATATATATATATATATATATATATATATATATATATATATATATATATATATATATATATATATATATATATATATATATATATATATATATATATGCCTCCTTTGTGTCTGGAGAAACTCTCCAGACACAAAGCAGAACGCTTTAAAAGAGACCAACGTCGTCTATGCCTTCAAATGCCCACTTGGGGACTGTAAGCTCCAAAAAACCCAGTATATAGGCAAGACAACAACATCTCTTTCTAGGCGTTTAACGATGCATAAGCAACAGGGCTCCATTAAGGAACATATAATCTCTTCCCACAACCAAACCATCGCCAGAGAAATCCTAGTAAACAACACAGAAATCATCGATAGATACAGCGATAGCAGACGGCTTGACGTTTGCGAGGTACTGCACATTAAGAAGTCAACACCAGCAATCAACAGACAATTAATGCACAACTATATTCTACCCACCTCAAGACTCCGCTCCAATATAGAAGCATCAAGAAATATGGACCAATAGGCTTTCTACAATCACTTCCATTTCAATACCCATTGTTTCGTGTTCTGTCTTGTGTTGATGAAATTAATACCCTATTAAATACCACCTCACCCCATCCACCTCACTCAAATGTAGATATAAACAAATCGGAGATATGTAAGTTCTATTCAGTTGTGTATGTGTAAAGTCTTTGAAAATGTAATAAGTTTTACGAAACGCGCTCAAGTGTCGCGTCAGACTAGAAATAAAAATGAATTTTGGAGAATTGATTTTTGAATTACCTCCAACAGTGAAAAGAAATGTACGAAAGATTGAGAAAATTCGTGTTAGAATTATTAATCTTAATAATTAAGATTAATTATTAAGAATTATTAATTCCACATTCTCGGTCCCTTGATTTGTAGAGCATTTCTAGTTTGATTAAGTCGTACTCTAGGAATATCAAAACTGTATTTATTTCTGGTGTGGTGCTCATGGGTTCTGTTACAACCTTCAATGAAGCTTTTGAGGTCAGGATTGGCATTACAGTTCAGCGTTTTATATATGTATAATACACAAGAGAGAATGTGCAGTGACTTAATATCTAACATATTCAGAGATTTGAGTAAGGGTACCGAGTGATGTCTGGGGCCAGAGTTGGATATTGTCCTAATAGCAGCTTTGTGTTGGGTAATAAGAGGACGTAAGTGATTTTATGTAGTAGAACCCCAAGCACAAATACCATAGTTGAGGTATGGATAGATGAGGGAGTAATAGAGAGTAACCAGGGCAGGGCGGGGTACATAATATCTGATCTTAGAAAGAATGCCAACAGTTTTTGAAACTTTTTTTGACATATTTAGAATGTGACCCTGGAAATTCAGCTTGTGGTCGATGAGAACGCCAAGGAATTTGCCATCTAATTTGTTACAAATTTGGGTATTGTTTATTTTGAGATTTATCTGATTAGAGGATTTATTGCCAAACAGAATATAAAACGTTTTGTCAATGTTAAGGGTGAGTTTGTTGGCGGTTAGCCAAAGATGGACTTTCTCTAGCTCAGTATTTACTGTGGCATTTAGAGCAAGGGGGTCAGGACCGGAGTAAATGAAGGTTGTGTCGTCTGCAAATAGAATTGGCTTGAGGTGTTGGGAGGCATTTGGAAGGTCATTAATGTAGATGAGAAAGAGGAGAGGGCCAAGTATGCTGCCCTGAGGAACACCAATGTTGATGGGTAGGGTGGGAGAAATTGTATTATTCACAGAAACATACTTATTTATTTATTTATTTATTTATTTATTTATATCCTAGGTTGTAGATGGACCTTTACAGGTAGATGCTGCATTTTTTTAGCATTAACTGCATCGATTATGTGGTTGACTTTCTTCTTGATATCTTCTGTTGGGTTTCTGCTAATCCTATTGAATTTGGTCTCATCTTGGAGGATTTTTTTTAGTTTGGTGATATATTCATCAGTCGGGATGAGGACGAAGGCTGCGGTTTTATCGGCTCTCCGGATTGTGATATTCACCATGGACTTAAACTGGTGCTTCTTTGTATTTATTATCTAGGGTGTTACTCTTGTAGCCTCCCCTTGGGGAAACATGTATACGCAGATAGACGGAGTGGCCATGGGGTCCCCACTAGGAGTCCCCTTTGCTAACGTCTATATGGACTCAGAATCTTTGGTAATGTGTTTATTGTTTGTGATGTGTGTATATATAGGTATTAACACGATGTACTGAACGGGGTGAGAATAGCTTGAGCTTCCTCATCCCTTTGTGTGTATTTTACCTCAATAAACTTATTTCAATTTCAATTTCTATATGGAAACACTAGAAGACACCATCTTCAAAACCACCGGGAAACCTCGCATCTACTGCAGATACATTGATGATATATTCGTATTGGGGAGTGACCTCCAGGAACTGTCGCGATTAAAGGATCTACTTGTCCTAAATTCAGTGCTTAACTTGACCCATGAGCTAGGAGGCATCGATGGCGCACTCCCTTTTCTCGATGTCTACGTGAAGGGGGGGGGGGACCGAGATGACGTCAGGGGGGGACCGAGATGACATCAGGGGGGGGCGAGATGACGTCGGGGAAGGGGAAGACCGAGATGACGTCAGGGGGGGGCCGAGATGACGTCAGGCGGTGGACCGAGATGACGTCGGGGAAGGGGGGGACCAAGATGACGTCAGGGGGGGGGGCCGAGATGACGTCAGGCGGTGGACCGAGATGACGTCGGGGAAGGGGGGGACCGAGATGACGTCGGGGAAGGGGGGGACCAAGATGACGTCAGGGGGGGACCAAGATGACGTCAGGGGGCCCGGCGAGCACCAGGTCAGTGTCCAGCCTGCCGGCGGAGGTGACGCGTGCTGGTGTAAACATTAGCTGTTCTTGCGTCTTTAACGCTTATGTTGGTAATTATTTTCTTATATTTTTCCCCTTTGCTCTCCAATCTGTTGGTGACCTTACATGCGTAAACTTTCTCGTCCTCAATAATGTAAATCTGGCTTTTCCGGACTTTTGCTTAAATGTGAATTACTGTAACATCTTTGCAAGTCGGTAATTGGTTCTCCAGGTAGTTTATACTTTACACGTTAATTCTCTTTGTATTTGCGTGTCACCGTTAATGTTCTTGGTTGTGGGTGGCATTGGCTTCTGTAACTACTTCAAGTCAACTACCCGTAGACTGAACGACTTCCTTGCATCTCTTGACACTAGCTACGTCAGCCTCCATTACTGGACCCTTGGTTTTTTTTTTTCCTCTGTCCCCCCTAGTCCGGAAGTGGTATTATTTACATATATAATTTTACTTGAATTGCTTGTTTAGAAATTTGCGTGAGGTAGTATACTGTGTACCCATTGATCCCACAGTGATGGTTCCCAGTATGGCACCTGGGAGGAGGGGGACCATGGCGGCCCTCTTGATGACTGCTACCATGATGACTGTGGTGGTGACGACGGCACAAGAGACTACTGACGTCGCCAGACCTGCGGCTTACGGTAAGGCAAACCTACATGTGTTAACACTTGCTGAGAAGGACAAATATTAAGCTAGGTAACTAGCTACAGCTTGGTGTGCGTGTACGTACTCGCCTATTTGTGCTTGCGAGGGTTGAGCTTTGGCTATTTGGTCCCGCCTCTCGACTGTCAATCAACTGGTGTACAGGGTCCTGAGCCTACTGGGCTCTCGTATCTACATTTGAAACTGTGTATGGAGTCAGCCTCCACGACATCAGTGCCTAATGCATTCAATCTGTTAACTACTCTGACACTGAAACTTAAATTGCTGCTTCTTTGTATTTATTATCTAGGGTGTTACTCTTGTAGTCTCCTCTTGGGGAAACATGTATACGCAGATAGACGGAGTGGCCATGGGGTCCCCACTAGGAGTGGGGTCTCTCTGGGGGAGGAGTGGGGTCCCACTAGGACTTGTGTCTCCCTCCCTTTTGGGAGGAAACTGAATGCTTGTTGTGACCTGTGCCATATCTGGGTGCATGGAGGGTAACACATCTCTGCAACAGGCACTGTGTGGGCGGTGAATAGGTGGATGGGAGACGCCCAGACGCAGGGTGGGTGGGGTGGGATGGCAGGAGGTACAGTGGTGCGGTGAGGCCGGTGGGACGGGAGAAGGGAGGGGTTGACCGGGCACCGCTGGGCTTGAGGGGGGGTGGTGGAGGGATGTCAGGGCGACACTTAAACACTGGTACAATTTCCTTGTATATCACTGCACAATGGTGATTGAATCATACACTTGTAGTCTGACACACTGTGAGCTCCATTAACACTAAATATGATTGTTAATTTTTGTTTATCTGCCTATCCCCACACACAGTAACCCTCCTGCCTGCCTATCCACACACACAGTAACCCTC